TGGTCCTGGTGAGGCCGCACCTTGAATACTGGGTTCAGTTTTGGGCCCCTCCCTAAAAGAAAGACATTGAGGTGCTGGAGAGTGTCCAGAGAAGGGCAACAACACTGGAGCACAGGTCTGATGGGGAGTGGCTGAGGGAACTGGGGGTGTTCTCGGGGTGGGTCTGGAGAAAAGGAGCCTCAGGGGAGACCTTATCACTCTCTACAACTAACTGGAAGGAGGTTGTAGCGAGGTGGGGGTTGCTCTCTTCTCCCAAGTAACAAGTGATAGGAAAAGAGGGAATGGCCTCAAGTTGCACCACGGGAGGTTTAGGTTGGCTATTAGGAAAAATTTCTTCCCTGCAAGGGTTGATAAGCACTGGAACAGGCTGCCCAGGGAAGTGGTTGCATCACCATCCCTGGAGGCATTTAAAAGATGTGTACATGTGGTGTTTAGGGACGTGGTTTAGTGGTGGACTGGGCAGGGTGAGGTTAACAGTTGGACTCGATGATCTTAAAGGTCTTTTCCAATCTAAACAATTCTACGATTCTATGAAATGTAGAAGAGTGAGGTGATTTATTTACAGAGAGATGGAATGTCATGTTGCAAGAGAAATCTCTTGGTACTTCGACTTATCTCTTTCCTTGGCACTAGAACATTTTGTGAATGGAAGAGTAATGAAGAAAGCAAATGGTTCTTGCCTTTATTGTAATTAACCTCTAGGGCCCCGTTGTTACAGAATAAGATTGAGAAAATGAGACCAAAAAAATTATGTAAAACCCCCTGCGTTTGTATCAATTGGAATAAAAAATGGCAAGTGTGATTTAGTCCAGTGCTTTAGGCTAAATAGCACCTGCAGCTTAGAAGGACCCAGCTTGCCTAACACAGCTTGTATTTGGCCTGATGGGTTGCACAGAGGGACTGCTTGATTTTTTTTATAAATTCGGGAACTGGAGGCTAGATCCTGCTTTTTGCTGAGGGAGTGGGGAGACCTAGGGGGGCTGGGACCCTCTCCCTCGTCAGCAGGAGGCCGGTCATAGAATCCCAGAATTATTCAGGTTGGAAAAGCGCTTCGGGATCACCGAGTCCAACCCTCAGCCCGACTCTACAAAGTTCTCCCTTACCCCACATCCCCCTCCAGCTCATCCATATGGCCCTTAAACACACCCAGGGATGGGGACTCCCCCCTCCCTGGGCAGCCTGTTCCACTCTCTGACCACGCTTTCTGTGATTTTTTTTTTTTTTTTTTTTTTTTTTTTTTGGGGGGGGAATCCCGTGTCTCCCCCTCATGGTAGCTGGGCCATGTATACTTTATTTCCTGCAAGACAGCTATTTTGCTCCAAAACCTGTGTACAAAAGTGCTTGCAGGATCGACCTCATGTCCACTGAATGCATAAAGGAGGTTGTTGCTGCACAGGGACTTCACAGACGCCGGAGAGATGTTCAGTGGTTTTGCTCTTCGTTTTTCCTCCCCTCTCTCAGGGTGCCTTTCACACACCAGAAGCTCACTTGTACTGCTTCAAAACTAAACATTAAGCTGGTTTGGGTGGGTTTTTTTGGTATTAAAAAAAAACCAACACCAAAACAACACCACAGGATATGCTGAGTGCTTCCTTTTGTGCTGGTGACCCTGCAGGGAGTGGGGAAACAAGAGAGAGGGCTTGACCTGCTGGTAGTGCTAATCGTCAGGGCTTGATAGGAGTTTTGTTTAAATATGATCCATTGGAAAATTAAGCTGGGGTCAACCCCCAAATTCTGGAAATTTTCCCTCTGTTGAGGCAAAACACTCGCAGCAGCCTGTAGGAGTTGCTTTCCCAGCTCTGAAGGGCAGCCTTCTACCCTTCTGTGACTCAAGGGTTGCAATTGTTTGTGTTATTTAATGTGCAGAACAAAACTTTGTCTGTCACATCGCTCTTTAAATGCCTTTGTAGGGCTTCTGCTTCCCGTAAGGGTGTGCATGGCTACCTCTGAATATTAGTCCAGCTATTAACTAATTTCAGGTGCCTTGAAATCTTTGCTTGTCCTGCTAGATTCTAGCCCATGGAGTGGGTTTTCCTTCTTTTTTTCTTTATGTGTATAAATGAGTCTAGTGTTTGAGGAAGTGGAGCGGAGCTGTTTTGATACCCTAGGCTGGGATCATCCTTGGCACTATTACTTATTAACTTTTTTTATGGTTACCAGCAATGGTCTCATTTTGGCTGGAAGCCTTTTGCTGGGGATACAGCGGTGAAAAAGTCACCGGAAAAGTACCTGGACTGTTTTGCCTATTCCTTTTTTTTTTCCAGACCATCTGTTGTCAGTGCATGAAGGACTGTCCCCATCAGCATTTTCTCTTCCTCTGGAAGTGAGGAATGATTACCCAAATTGCTGCTTGTAGTTCTAATTTTCGGGAAGAGGAAGGTGTTCCTGAACTGGTCGCAGGCAGTAATGGTGTGGGGTTTGACTCTTGGCAAGGAAAGCTGGAAATATTCTCCTCCTTTTGGGTTCAAAAGGGCATGTTGTGTGGGACTGTGCTGAGGCTGCTTTGCCTGTTCGGGGCAAGTCCTGGGAGGAGGTGTTAAAAAATGACCTTGGTGGGTGAGCACCATAGCTGGTTCTGTTCCTGCTTTTGTACATTTGTCCTGCATTTCAACTTCGATCTGTGTCATATAGATTAGGCCTCAAATTTTACACTCTGTGACTTTCATGACAGCATAATTCTCCCTGGTTTTTAATGTTATTGTTTTTTTCCATTTTTCTAGTAGGTGAGGAACACGTTATTGGTGCTTGCATCACCTCTGACTCTGGTCCCAAGCCTGCCCGGACTCAAATATCCTGATAACTTGCACATCCAAGTTGTTCAGTGGTATCATGTGCCCATGTCATTGCACGTGGGCAGAAGCAGCCTGGGCACAAGGGGGATTTAATCTGAAACATTCACATTTGGCAAGAAATTATTTCAGAATCCTGATTTTCTTTTAATGTGCTGATAGGGACTTTCATTTTATGGAGAAATTACGTAAGGCTGTATCATCAGCATGGTACTCTGGTTCTGAATTTGCAAGATGTGTCTGAGCTTAAATGGAAAAAAAAAACCCCTGGAATTTTTTTGTTGGTTAACTATTAAAACACCTGTAATTTTAACTTTTATCTTTGAGTAGGGGTATTCTCCTCATAGTATTTAAGAAATACAGTATTTGCTTTTGAAAGCAAATGGTATTGTCATGATTGAGTTATTTTATGTTGTTTCCATTACTGTCAGCAAAGACTTTTCTTCTCCATAGTTCCTGAAGTCTCCTTTGCTATGAATATCCTTTTGGGGATCTGTAGATACCAGTTGTGTGTTTTTCGAAGCTAATGTCTCCATGTTGATACAGGCACTGAAAAAATTCAACAAAATGGGGAAATAATATTGCTATTAAAAAAGTAATCCTTTCCATATTTTTAATGATAATATGTTTCTCTGAAATCCACCCAAAATCCATGTCAGTATTTGTATTCCTTTAGTCACATTTTTTTTTTATGTTGTATATACCTATTCAGAGATTGAGATTTTTATAAATATGCCATTATAGTGACACCTTTTTCTTACTGTGTCTGCCTGACTTGAGGAGTAAAACCAATGGGCATAATGTATTTGTGCCATGATTTTGGCCATTGATTCTAAACAGGGAATGACGCTAGCTAAGGTGAAATGTTTTTTCATTTTGCTATGACTAAATTAATAGTTTGGTCTCCATATATCTTAGTAGAGGCATTTGAGTTTTGAACACTAGTAACTGCTGTTGGGCATCTGTCAGATTTTTAGATCAGGACTCTATCAGAGAGTGAACATTAATATTTTATGGCGATGATTGTAACGTATATCACAAGAAGCTCCATAGGCTTTGAAAATTTGTAGTTAGTATGTCACTTTTAAGTAAATATAAGTGCCTGTGAGGGTGCTGGATTGCCCGCACTGCGGGAGAGCATGTCACTGAGCCCTGTTGACTCTTTGTCCAACCTTGGGGGGCTGAAGCTCCATGGTGTAACGGGACAACCCAGGAGAACAAACCAAAGCCTGTGGTGCACAGGCAGGAGATAAGAGCAGCTCCCAGGGACACCCCCCACCCCCCCAGTGCTGCACAGCAGGATGAGGCTGGGCTGGACGGGACATGTCTGGAGTCCCCTCATCTCTCCAATGTGAGAGCCTGGTGGAGAGGGACTTTGTGGTGCCCCTGTGTGGGCTAGGAGCTGAGCCCAGCCACTGTTCTCCCAGAAACATGAGCAGAAGCTCATCCTTCTCTGCTCCGGAGGAGAGTGCATTTGAGATCTACCCCTCCTTTAGGGTGAACTCCTGGCTCCAGTAAAGCCAGTGGTAGAATTGGTTTTGGCAAAGCCAGGATTTTTGTTCCTGGGGTTTACCAGCTCTCTGCACGGCAATAATCTTGCCAGGGGACAGTTTAGCTCTAAGGAAGGCTTTTATTCTTCCACATAATCTACAAAGACGTCTGTAATTACTGCTGGTAACTAAGGCAACCCAACTTTATAGTTGATACATGCATGCAGCAGAGCTATGGGTTATGGGTTTTTAAAATACCTTTCTGTTGGTTGTTCCGCAGCCGTGCTCAGGCAGGAGCTGTGCTGTTGAGCCAAGGGTAGATTGAGCCAAGCCCTGCCAGTGGCTCTTGGAGAGGAGGAACACAGTGTAAATGGGGTTGTGATTAGCTCCACTGGCTTAATTGAGAACTTTCAAATCGGGGTTCGTTTGTTCTACTTGGGGACAGCGTTGAAAGGCCACACAGGAGGTGGCGGTGGGGTTGGCGCGCTCTGAAAGGAAGAGCCTCTTGGCTTATTTTAGGAGAATCCTGCTGTGTCCCTAACAAGGATGTTCATCTGGCCCAGGGGAATGAGACCATTTGTTCGTTCACTTGGTGCATGGCCTCGGATAGCCCAGGAATAGAACAAATTGCTCCTGGCAGCCGGCTTGCGAGTCCCACCGGCGTGGTGGGACAGCAGCTAGGCAAACGCAGGGGTGCGGGGGGGAAAGGCTCTGTGGTCACGGGGTGCAGGGCACGTCCAGGTGAGCTTTCATCTGAGGACCCTGTTCCTCTGTTGCTTTGCTCCGTTAATATAGTAACAGTGTAATAAGTGAAACAATTCTTAGGGTTGTGGGGAAAAAAAGACTCAGAAGAGGGCTGTGCCAATGCACTGTTTTAGTCTTGTCAGGGGTAGCTTTTGCTTTGTGGCAGGTTGCATTTGCTTGGAGCATTTAGGTTCCTGCATTTTTATGTTGGAAATGTGCTGGTGATCTCTGAGAGTGAGTGCATGGGGGTGTGAAATCTTCCTTGCAGATAAAATCATCCTCAGTCCATTACTGGAACACGGTTCTGTGGAAGCTGAGTCAGTCTCAAAGATGAGTTAAAGGCTCTTGGCCATTAATTTTTCAAATGTGTTTTTTATGAGTCATTTGGAAAAACTTTAAATAGCATATCTTGATTTTTTTTTTTTTTTAAGCAAGTTTTTAACCAGACCATCGGCAGTATTTTGTTATGGCGAGCCTTTGGCAAAATGTGAAATCCACCCCTGTTAATAAAGCTGAGGATGTCTTTTAGGATGCTTTTTAAAAGGTTACTTTTCATACGTTTTAGGAAGAACTGACTAATCTTTTTCACAAATGCTGAAGCAGTGGTTTTGCTTTTAAAATACACAAACGGTGGAGTTGAGGTTTTATGAAGGCTTGTTGATCTGATATTTACTTTGGTGTTCAATGAAACTTGCCATGTCCTTTGAACGGTATCTTTTTGCCAGCAGAAAAGTTTGAACATAATAAATCTTTGGTCTCCGGCACTGGAGTGCTAATAAATAAATCTCAGCAGTGTGCTTTTTCTTATTAAAGAAGCCCCATGATTTTTTGTGTGTGTTGCTTTATTTTGCATCCCGCAAGGTCTGTCTTTGAGGATGACCGAAGCGGTGTCCCGCAGCGGTCCAGCTGTCCCACACCAGAGTGATGGGTACCGCTGTCCCTGACGTTCCCTTTTGGTTTCACTTTCTTTTTATTCCTTTTTCTTTCTTTTTTGTTTGTTTTTTGTTTGCTTCCTGTACACGTTTCAGCTTTGGAGACTGAAAGCTCAGTCCCTTGCACTTTCCCTCCCTGGAGCCGGTGTGCCGCGAGGGCAGGTTTAGCTGATTAAAAAGCAAGGGTTTACACTGGGGGGTTTAAAGCTGTGGCCAAACTTCACTTGGCCTAAGATTTCAACCAGGGCTTTTGGTAGATACAGCACTGAGGCTTAGCTGAATTTGGCTGTGTCCCTGGAGCAAGGAAACCCCCTCGCTGGGGTGTGCAGACCTGGGGCAGAGCCAAGTGCTGCCGCTGCTCTGTGCCCGTGAGTGCCGCTGGCGGTACGTGCGGCGCAGGATGAGTCCAGCTTTCTTCGGGGACAGAAAAGCTGGTTGTCTTGTTGCCTGGTACCAGTCCCTTGAATACTGAACATGTAACAAGAGGCATTCTACTTTCTGATTTTTTTTTTTTTTTCTTTTAATCTGGCCAAACTAAGCTAATTGGATGATGACTGTAACATGGTCTGGGAACTCGTCTCCCTCACTGGGACATGTGCTGAGTGATGTTGTGCTCAGCCTTGTGGCTTCACTTATGACTGAAAATATTTCACTTGCTCAGCAAAGTGAAAGGATTGAACTTGGCTGGTTTGGGGCATTAACCTTTGTCTCGGACACAAAGCTGGAGGCTGCTCGGTATGCAGGCATGTATTCGAGCTGTGTGCAGCTTGGCTGCTAATCAGTGTCTTGTTTCTAGAAGAAGGACAATGCAACCCACCAAGGACAGCTGGGGGGGCAAAGAGCTTCGTGTAGGCTCAAGGGACATGGTGCTGGTAACAGTCACCAGTCGGGACCAGGCAACAGCGAGGGTGTAATGTTCACCAAGGGCTTCAAACTGTCAAGGTGTTGTAAATTCTGAATAACTGTTTTTTCAAACACACGTTGTGTGGGGGTATATGTGTCTATAGATATCTATGTGCATGCATACACACTTTAGCAGAGGGTGGCAGGTTTTCTGGGGAAGGATCCTTGCACTTCCCTGGCTTTGTACCCTCCTTCAGGCATCATCTTCTGGTCACCAGTTAAGTCAAGATGCTAAACTGCTCAGAATACTGGTTTAACCTGATTCAGCCTTTTTGATTGTGATGCAAGCCCAAATAAAGAAGAGGAGGCTGAGGGGAGACCTCTTCACCCTCTACAGCTACCTGAAAGGAGGTTGCAGGGAGCTGGGGATGAGCCTCTTTAACCAAGTGATAAGCAACAGGACAAGAGGTAATGGCCTCAAGTTGCACTAGGGAAGGTTTAGACTGGATATTAGGAAGCGTTTCTTTCCAGAAGGGCTTGTTGGGCATTGGAATGGGCTGCCCAGGGAAGTGGTGGAGTCCCCATCCCTGGAGGGGTGTAAGAGTAGAGTCAACATAGCGCTGAGGGATCTGGTGTAGTTGGGAACTGTCAGTGTTAGGTTAATGGTTGGACTGGGTGATCTTCAAAGTCTTTTCCAACTGAGATGATTCTGTGATTCTGTAATAAAGGTGGCAGGGAGGAACATGAAGCTGAGGGAGATGGTCCTTTGGAAGGAAGACTCTGAGAAGGTCTCCCGTCTGGTGTGTGGTGACCATGGGGTTACAGCCTGAGGTCTGCCATTCTCTTGGGGTTGGCTTTCGATGTGGATGACCTTGTTTGACTCTTCTTGTTTGCCTTTGCCTGCTGGCAAGTTTGAGGGGTGAGCCGTGGGTGGAAGCAGAACAGGGACCTGACTCTAAATGCTGCTTTTTTCGGAGGTGGAAACCTTTAGCTCTGAGTGATTTCGCACACTTTCAGATCAGCGAGGTAGAGATATCGACCTGATGTCAATTCTGTATAGAGAGCCAGTGTTCCCAACACAGTAATGAGGACGCGTATGTGCCTTAGGCACCTGTTGGCCTGGTTAAACACAGCACATAGCTGGGTGCATCTGGTCTGACGTTACCGCTAGAGCTGGTGGTTCTGGTAGGAAGGTCTGCTTTAATAATTCATTCTGTACGTTTCAGTGACACTAAATAGACCTATTTCTGAAATGGAAATGGATGTGGCCTCTGTAAAGCTAATGCTTTGGAAGCTGTGCAGGGAGTATTAACAGTCCTTTTCTACTTGCCTCTATAGAAGAAGGTACAAATCACGTATTGCATGCTTGAGATTTTCAGATGGGACATTGAAGGCTAAATTTCTCTTTCTCTATATGGATGTTAAAGTATCTGTGGTACTCCTGTAGTTCCTAGTGCTGAAGTCTATTTCTATTCAGTGAGGCAATTATGTTCTGGCTTGAATTTCAACTTATACTGCTTTCCTGGCCCGAAGCCTGTAAGGCTGGGCTTTGTCCTCAAGTGTTTGGCACTTTTTCCTTTCCTTCCCTGACTGAAATGTGGATTGAGTTGGCTTTCAACATCCATGCAGAAGTAGTTGCATTTTGTGATGCTCTTCATACAGTGAACCTGAGCCAACTAACAAACATGCAAGTAACTCCATGCGTAATCCCTGTGCTGCAGTTTTCTGATACTTTTTTTTTTTATCATTGAATCAAACTTTCTACTCCTTTTTTTTTGTCCCTGTTTTTAGCATTAAGCAGAGTTCCCGATCCTCTGAGGCAGCTGAAGACGAAAAGGACCAGCGCACAGTGACAGTCAACCCCTCTCACATGAGAAAGGCATTCAAGGTCATGAATGAATTGCGGAGGTACACTTTTGACTTAATGGGCACCCTCTCTGGTTTAGTAGAAACACGCTGATTGGAACAGAAGGGCTTCTGGGAGACTTAAAAAAAATCTGTGCCATCTTTGTCACAGCTAATAATTGCTTGTAGGGAATTAATCAACAAGTAGGAAGAGACAGCTAAAATACAGCCCTTTTGTGGTGGATTACTCTTCCCAATCTCAGATCACTCTATTTTCCAAGCAGAAGGAGGCCAGCTACGGCTCAAAAACATTATATGAGCAATAGCCTTCATTTACAGATGATAATTCACTTAGTCTTTTCCATTACTTACAGCAAATTCAGCTGTAAACTATGTTCTTAACTGAGCTAATGGTCTGAAAACCAATAATAGAACATTACAGACATTAAGACACCTACACATAATTACAGACCAAAGATTATTAATGAACAGTTCTTACTCTCTTTAACTAGCAGTGCTATTCAGTCTGGGCTTAGCACTCCAAAGTAGGGAGTGAAAAAAAAGCAACAACTCGGGAAGAATGTCAGCTCTCTACTTGCAAATTTGAAAATCCTGATATTGGTTAAAAGAGAACACCTTGGTCTCTACACAGCTGTGTGGGTATAGGGAGAATGGAGGCTGAAAAAATAGCAGCAAGCGGTTTTCAGGAGCCGCTGTCATCACATCAGCAATGTGGTGGCAGTGGTTAAAGCAGACAGAAGTTCAGCGAGCGCTTCCCTGGCTAGTTCAGTCCCTTGCCATTCAAATAGAGACTTAGAAATCCATTTTTAAAAAGAATTCCTATGGAAAATACCTGCCGTACGCACGGATGTATGCGCTCCCTCACAATCCACAAAGTCCTCAAAAGATGCTGTAATAGCCACCTCTTCTGTGGATTAAGTAATTTCTCAATATACATGTTCTCCAGTGTGGAGAAGAATTAGAAATGTCTCCTTCCACAGATGTCTGACAGCAATTCTCAGATGCATAGGAACAGAAAATGGAACAAATATCTTTCCCTTGTAACAATTACGTAAAGTGGAGTATGTTTCGGTGTGTTGTTGTGTGGTGTGTTTTTTGTTTTTTTTTTTTAATTGGCATCCCTCTAGTCTGTTCTTTGTACTAAAAGCAAAGGATCTGAAAATAATGGTTTGTGCAGCTATATTCAGAAATCTATTGTGCTGCTATTATTCCTTTGTTAATTGAAGCGTAGTGGGAATAGCTGGAGATGGACAATGTTTCTTAGTGCCTGTGGTTAGCTAGATCTTGTGCAATACCGAAGTGATAAGACATGGAAGACTGAAAGCTGCCCTTAAGCATCTGTTTGATGTTTTCTTCTTCTGGGGTATTCCTTTTTGTCAGCTCCTGCTGCTGTTCTGGAATATACAGTTCTCACGGCTATTGTATGTGCATTGAGCTTGCGATCTGTTAAGCTGTCAACAATCGGTGTAAATAGCTACCTTGAATAATCATGCCTCCATTCAGATGCATCCAGAAATCTCATACAGAGGGTCTAGAAGAATTTTTGCTAAGCCTTTAGCCTATTTGTTATACACTGCTCACTTGAAATTTTGAGCTTTCAGATGTAGATGAAATTAATTTCATGAGTGGTACTCTAAATAACTCTAGTCCAAAGAGGAACTGAACAGAGCACTTTTCACTTAAGATGAATGAAATGAAGAAGCCTCCATTAAGAGGCTGTTAAAGAGCAAGCTTCATTGCCATCATCCCTTCCAAACTGGGGGGAATGTAGAGCACAGACTACTAAAGTTCCTACTTTCTTACTGTTTTCCAACTATAACCCTCCGTTTCACAGATGTTTTGTTCAGGTATTCTAATATATGGAGGAGAGGAGCCATACCTAGTCCATTAGAAGCTGTCTGTGTGTTTATTTGATACGCAGTTTCCAAAAGACAAAGTGCAGCGTGGTAATAAGCACTTCTGAAGAGAAGGCGACATCTAGATTTACAGACGCTGATCCTTTTTCCAGGCTTGACATTTGAAAAGAACACCCTTATTTTGCATTTGTATGCTCAAACATCTTAAACCAAGGTATTGGGAGGCCGAGCACTTCTAGCTGTCGGCATCTCAGAAGCCCTGTGCAAACATTAACTAATGAATCCTCAAAGGACATACGCGGGGCTAGTAGAAAAGGTCAGTAGTTAATGAAGTGACTTTTCCAAAGCTGTACAATGAGTCAGTGGGGGAGCTCAGAAGTTTTTTTGGTTTCTGTTTGGAACCCTATGCTTTATTCCAGTGACTCTTAATCCCAGACTAATTCATGTGGTAAAAAGTTCTCAGGCCCATGGATAAACTCCAGTGATTGACATCTCCTCACTGGGAGACGGCGGAGGCAGCCTCTGTGCTGGTCAGTGCCAGATGTTTTGGTGGTCGTGTTCTTTAGGACTAAACATGGAAGGAAGTACAGAAATAACTTTATTTTTCCACTCTACCTTTTCCCTGTGGAAGGATTAAAGTGCTGCTGGTGCTCCTTTGCACAGCTATTTCTTGTTTTACAGCTGTACTACAGCTTGGCTCCAGGTAGTGCCCAAACTCTTAAGCTCTCCTGTGCCTTCTCCAAGCCCTGCTTACTTGAGAGAGGTGGAAGGAGCCCCTTACCCCGTCAGTTCTCCGGACAGTATGCATGCCTAGTTTGTCTTCCAGTGTGTGTTTGTTGTTTTTTTTTTTTTCCTGGGAAAAGCAGAACCACAGGCAGGGCTGCAGCATCAGGAGGACCCAGGCTTTGCTTTGTAGGCAAACACTGGCAGGAGCTGGTAGCTGAAGGAGCAGGGGGCCTTCCCCTGGGATTTGACAGCAGCTCAGGTGCCTTGTCCTCTGCTTGCCTTTCCAGGCTCTACCGATTGTAGCTTTTTTTGCCTGACCAGTAGTTCTGAAATGATCTTTATCTTTTCTGGTGTTTTTCCAGCAAGCGGCTCCTCTGTGATGTGGTGATTGTGGCCGAAACTGTGGAGATGGAAGCCCACCGCGTGGTCCTTGCGGCCTGCAGCCCTTATTTTTGTGCGATGTTTACAGGTACTCTTCTTGACACCAGACACTGGACTTGGGTTGAATGGGCCACTGCAAACCCAGAGGCTTCTGGCTGTGTCTCTGGCAGGAGCAGCAGCCCAGGCAGTAGGCATGGCGAGGAAAGGGTTTCCTCGAGAGGTAGAGTACGGTTAGGTCTGCAGTTTGGTACGCTCCATGGATGGTGCTGGTCATCCTTCACTAATTCTTTGAGGCACGGTACGTGGGTATGGGGTGGTTGTTTGGGTGTGGGGTGAGCAGGTAGCGTATAAGTCGCAGGGAGGTTACTACTATGAGATTTGGCTCACTGCTTTTTGCGTTGGTTATTTTTTTTTTTTGCTCCCTTTATAAGACCTTGGGTCAGGAAAACACATCATTAACATCAAGCACGTGTGCCGTGCCCTAAATGTTCATGGTGCACATCAAAGAAGTTGCTGGCACAGGAGTTGTAGTTTCAAGGCTCAGCCCTGCTGATGCTGATTTGCAGTCACGGATGTTTAATCTCCCATGGCACTTTTTTGCTGCTGCCCAAAATAACACTGTTGTTCTCCCGATCCCAGTGTGCTTTAGCAGCCATGCCTTTTTGCAGGGTGTGTTGCTGCAGTCGATATATTTTGGTAATGGCAGATGCAACATCAGTGTGAAGGGAAGAAGAGGATGAAATTCTTGCTCCAATCACCTGATCCCTATAGCAGGTGCCCTTTGGAGGCTGTGCCCAGGTGGGGCAGCAAAAAAAGCTGTGCCAATCCCAAGGCAGAGAAGTGACCAGCTTATTTAAGTCATTCTAGTAAAATCAGTTTGGTCAGGAGCTCCACAGCTTCCCTCATTTTCCTTGTCCTCCTTTCCAGGATAGGAACTGACTTAACTAAATACAAAGAAAGTGATTGTATGCTTCAGGGAATGGTTGTTACTGTCCCTCAGCTTCAGCATAAATGAGGTTTGGGGGTTTTCTCCTTCCTTGGTTTTCCTTTGCCTGTGGTCTAGAGGTGGCTTCTTCCTTTTAAAAGCCTTGACTTTGTTTTATTTGCTTTACTGGAAGCAGAACACAGCATTTCTTAGGAAACTTGTCATTTGGGAAGCTTTTTTCCCTTTCTGTAATGGAGGCGGGGGGGGGGGCAAAAATCTCCTGTGTAAACAGTTGTCTGAATGTGAGACGAGATGTGAGGTTTCGCCATGGTGGCTTTGTCAGTGTGGTGAGCTAAGGTGGAGAGATTTGTGTTTTCTAGGGCACTGACTCTGCACCGTGGAAGCGGGTATTGGCCGTGGTGCCGAGGCAGAGGAGCAAACGCTGCTCAGAGGCAACTGTTTGCACAGGGAACCTCGAGGAGGACTTGTGAGTGCTTGTGATGCTTGTTGCTGACGAGAAGTTTAAAAAAGAAAAATTGTTGGAAAAACCCTCTAATCCTTAGAGGTCATCTGAGCGGGAAGGTGGTGGTGCAGGGCTGCTCATGTTTCCATGGAGGAATTCTCCGGGCCGTGTAATCCCTCACGCTGTGAGTTAAACAGTAAGCAGCTAACCGCTGTCATGTGGCTGGGCTGGGTGACAGCCTTGGTGCCTGCCAGTCCCTTCCCTCTGACATGTCCCCGGGGGGCAGTAGGTCAGGCAAAGACCAGTTTTTCCTTCGCTTTTGGCCTTGCTAGTCCCAAATTTCTAAGGTCTGGATCAGCGATGCAACCCAATGACTTGGGGGCAGGTGCACCATGTGGGTGTTTGCAGGACTGGGCAGGAGCTGCTTGTGCACGCTGAGTCCCCACTGGAGGAGTACTGGGGAGCTGGGGGGGTCCCCCAACAGCGCCGGCAGCCACGTGGTGGTGAGTGGTCAGTGGTAACCGAACTGAGACCCCCAGCTCATCCACCTTTGCCTGATGTTTGCTCTGCAGGCCCTGTCCCTGTTGGTTGGGCCTGACTTGGGGCTTATGAATAACCTTGTGATGACCTTGGGGTCTTTTCTAAACCATCTAGTGTCTTCTGGTTATGCATTCCTCTTTGAAATAGCCCTGGGAAGTCCGAAAATGATCAGGCACATCTTCCACTTGTATCTTCCATTACTGAAGGAGAAATGGGACCGAGTGCCCATTCCTGTAGGGACTTTCCAGAGCGTTTTGGATGGTGGCCAGTGCTCATTGGCACCATTACACGGGGATGCCTGAGGACAGGAATTTCTATCCATTTAGAAGAAAACACAATCATTTCAGAAAGAGAAACAGATATTTCAGTTATGCTGCTAGGAGTGGTCCTGTGAGATACCTGGGGAAGCTTCAGAAGTGCTGAAGGAGGAAGCAGCAGTGAGAAACCTCCCTTGCAGGGCTGGGGTGCTGCTTCAAAGCACCCGCCCCCATGCGCAAGAGGCTGCGGTTTTGTTATCCCTCGCACTCGGGTTTTCCTTCAGCACATCTCTGACTTCAGAAACAACAAAAGCTGTAGCTGTGCACTGGGAAGTCTCTCTGGAGTGCAGTACGTAGGAGGCAGGGCAAGCTGCTGTGCTGGGTAAACAAGGCGCTGTGAGCTGCTGCAGTTTTGACTGTGTGACAGAGCAGGAGAGCTCTGCTCTCTCCCTGCCCTTGTGAGCCAAGGGGAATGGAGAGAACACTGCTGGGTGTTGAGTGTGATGCATGAAGGCTTACCTTCACGAGGGGCTGCTATCTGCAAAGTTTATCCCCTAAAGAGGGTCTGCTTGGAGCCACTCTGCCTGTTTTACCTGCCTTTGCTCCCTTCTGCCCTGTCCCTCATGTCTGCCCATGCGCAGCGGTGTGGGGACGGGGTCTGTGCAGGGCAGCCCTTTCTCTGCACAGCCCTTAGGTATGAGAGATGATGCTAGTGCTTCGAATTATTCTGTAACTAAGGTAGGTGAGGCTTGAGTCTGACTTAGGAAAGACATCCTGGGGGTTGGGTTCTGTGGGCTTTAAGATGTGGGGTTTTTTTTCCAAAGGGATGTGCGATGAGATGCTGTAGTTGACCCACCACTCCTCTGCCTGCTGCCATGTGTTAGAGGCAGCGTTGGCCTTTGGTCTGTGCTTGGAGGAGGAGGCAGTGTGTGGCCTGCTCCTGCTCTGCACCAACCCCTGCCTTGGTTCACTTGTGGTGTCTTTAGGTTCTTCCTTGCTCCGCGGCATTAGAGGCCTGTCCGGAGCAGCACCCTCTGGCAGGTGGCAGGCACTGGGTCGTGCCAGCGTGGCCGGAGGGGTTGGGTCCCATCCGACCGTGGGGCACAGCACACGGGACTCCCCTTTTCTCATCGTGCACTGGGCTGTTACCAGAGCAGAGTCAGTGGAGGCCGTTAGCATGCAGGGCTGGCAGCTTGCTGGTGGGTGTGAAAGCCCACACAGCCTTTATTTTTGTTGTCTGTGTCACATGAACACCACAAAGACAGATGACGTTATTGGATCGGTCCCTCCAAACTATTTCTGCATCGATTCTCCGGGTGTGTGTGTGTCTGAGCCTCCCCTCTGCCCCACGGATGCCGCAGGGCTCCGGCTGCTCCGCTTGCCCCTGGCTCTGCGGGTGGGGTTTGCCTGGGTGCTCCTTACGGGCACCTCCACGTAGGCTGATGGGGACTGGCCTGTTGTCAGAAGCCCGCTCTCATCTCTGGAGATGTTTTTTTTGGGGGAGTGAGGAAATGTGTGGAGGAGATTGACAGTTTTTTTGTCAATTAAAAAGTCCTACCTGCTTTGAAAGCTTCCCAAATGTAGGTCGTTTATCCCTTTGTACTCATACATTTGCATTCATGGGCTTCTCTGAATAACATTTCATTATTTCATTTTAAAAATTGAATTTGGGGCAAATATTACTGCAGTCTACATTTCTCTTGGGACATTGTTGGCTTTTCTAATACTTACGGGCTGACCCCACTCCTCTTATTTACCTCCTTATTGGCATAAGTGAAGCCTGCGAAGTTCCATTTCCAGGATCTAGATTTTGCTCAGCCTTGGACCCCATTTAGCATCCAACTCTGCTGTGCACTTAATGTGCCTGGCCATGTCTTGTTGCACGCTGTACAGAGATGTAGGGTGTAATTACTTCTCCCGTAGATTGCAGGAACTATTTTTCCTCTCAATCCTACAGCAGTACTGAGTCACCAGATTTCTTAGAGTAGTGATTACTCATGCCCAGGTTTAAGAATTCACACTTCTTCACACTCGCCTTTGTTTAGCTTTGTTTCTTCACTTACCATTTTCTTTCTGCTCGGGAATTTGTTCTTTCTTTTCTGTGGTTCCTCCAGATATTGGTGATTAAAACCCAGGTGAGGTCACTGTGCGTGGATGCTGGAAGGGCCCCGAGAGTCCTTTCTCCTCCTCCTCACAGCATGCTTTTGTTCCTGTGGCATGCTCCTGTTACACATGGGGTATGTGTGTGTGGTGCCTGCGCAGCGTTGGCCACAACAGCAATGGGGAAGGCGCACATGAAGCACTGGTTCATGTATGGGCTTTTACACAGATACGGCTTTTACTTGTATATACAAGTATACAGGGGAAATTATTGCTCTAGTTCTGCATATTTTTTTTCCAAGTTATTTATTTGAAGAAAGGCTACAGTTTGGATCCAAAGGCTGCCTCACCTCTGAGGTGTGAGGTTGGGAAGGTGAGAGATGAGAAATACAGCCTTCTGCAGAGATGCTTTGCATAAGCTGTAACTGTGTGAACAGGTTACAACAGGGTAATTTAGGAGAGAAGCTTGCAGCGCACTGGATGTAACTGCTGACATGTGTGCTCGTTTTCCTCAGCAGGTTTCAGGTGCTTTCTAAAGAAAGACGCTAATGCTGCCTTGCTTTTATTGTAGGGTATACCACAAAGCACCCTAACTCAGCTGTTGCAACTTACTCATCTAGCCATATATATATATAACATTTAAAAAAAGACTTTTAATAAATATTGTCTTGTCCACATTCTCTTTGAATCTGTCTCTGTGCTGAGACATGGTTGAGGGTCATGCTGGTTTGTTTTTTTTTTTATTCCCTATATGTGTTTGAATACTGGTGAACCATGGCACGTTCTTTTCTGGCAAGAAATTGAGCTTGTGCCAGGGCAGTCTTTTAGTCAGATACCAGGAGGATGTGCTGGAGGTATGGGGAATAAGAGCCTGCAATGAGGTCTTGCAAAGCAAACTAACTGTCCTTTTGCAATGAATTTCAGGAGACATGTCTGAAAGTAAAGCCAAGAAGATTGAGATAAAAGACGTTGATGGGCAGACCCTGAGGAAGCTGATTGATTACATCTACACTGCTGAGATCGAGGTCACGGAAGAGAACGTGCAGGTAGGTCTGGTTCAGCAGCTGCTGTGGACACCCGAGTAAAAAGCTTTGAAACTTAAAGGCACAGGTCCTTGAGGGGGTTGAGTGATCTCTTCAGGCTGCAGAAAGCAAAAGGTTGAGCTTGAAAAGAGTTACTTCCAGCCTCTGTTTAGTCTTTAGGCACTTTGCTGCTTTCCCAGCACTTAAGTCATGTTGCATTTAGCTTTTGTGTCGAGCTTTTCTAACCAGAGCAGGCATTTGCCTTCCAAGAAGCTGTGCTGACTTGTGGGTCAGTCTGTCGAAGGTCAAAATAGACTGAAACAAGCAGCAAGTCAAATGTTGTTTTTAAGGTCATGGCAGAGGAATCTGGTTGTTAGTTTTTAAATTCTTCTGGGTAGTTTGAGTTGTTTAGCAGAGCTTTGAGTGAAATATATTGTTCAAATGACAGCATTCTTTTTTTTTTTTTTTTTTTTTTTTTAATTGAAAGGCAGCCTACAGATAAAGCAGGATGCCCAGGAAGAGCATTTTGCTGTGTCACGTGGCTGTGGCTGCTGGTAAAGCTTTTTCTTTGATTCCACTTGTATTTGTGGTAAGAAAACGGCTCTGCACTTAGCCACTGATTTCTGGAAGGGACGCTGGGAGCTTGTGTGCAGACGTGCTTTTTGGTTGTTTTCCATTTTTGTTTGCACATGGCAGTTGGAGTCTGTTGTCTTCCTCTCTGTGACTTGGATGTTGATCAGGGTGACAAGTCTGTGTCCGTGATGCTGAGGAGAGAGGGGCAGTGCTGCTGTGTGCATTCTGTTGACCTAATTAAGATGGCAAAATTAGACTAGTTCGGCTTGAAATAAAGTTTTTTTCTGTGGATGGAACATCCTCTTCTGCTCCAGTCCCTCAGGGAGGGTGCAGGTTCTTGCTGACCCATTGTTCTTCCTACATGAACTTGGACAAAACCCCAAGCTATGTCCACTTTGCAGTCTAAGCCCTGTGCTATCCTTTGTGACTTAAGTCTGGGGGTGCATTTTTCTTGCCCGTTCTGCCCTCCAGTTTTACAAGCTTGACTTTCTCGCATGCACTCAACCTGGCAGTTGTCACAGTGGTAGAGTGTGGACCCTGGTTGTCCTGTGGTGAGGCTGAAGACCAGCAGTGAGGAGACCTTCAAGGTGCCATTACAGCCAAGAAGTTGAGGCTCAAACCCAACTGTGGGTTGGTTGTCCACAGCCTGGACGAGCTGTCTGCTGTCTAACCCACTCTTAATTACAGTCTATAGTCAGGGAGATATAACATTACTTCAGCGGGAAACTGGGGTGGAGTTCCTTGGATGTCTGGGATCTTCCATTGCTGGAGGAAAAATGACATTTACATGCTCTCAGGCTGGTCCCTTTTCCTGTGGGAAATGTGAAGAGTATATCCACGTGCGTTCTGAAACGTATGCTTTCCTTCCATGCTGCTGGTTGTTAGGTGGCCCAGAAGCACCCACTCGGCACGTGGGACGTGCTGCACTCAGGATACCATCTGGTGTGCGCTGGCCCCAGTCAGGCTGCCTTGAATGGAGCTTTCTTGAAGTGACTACGTGTGCTCTGGCTGTGTTCCCACCAGAGCCTCTCGGTGCTGGAGTGCAGCTGCACCTGGGCAGAAGCAGCGTTGCAGGAGCTGGAGCAGGCTGGAGAGCCAACTCAGTCCTGCTCTGCCTTGGCAGCGTAGACCTGCCCAGAAGGTCACTGAAGAAGTCCAGATGTTACCTTTTCTGAGCAACTGGAAAGCTATCTTTTTAAGTAAAACCTAACCAAAGCCTGCCTTCCGTGGCCTAGGAATTGAAAAAAAAAAAAAAAGTAAGAGCCCTGTCTATATTTTGGCTTCCGTATCTCAGACTGTAAGATAAAATAGAAGTTTGACTACTACACTAAGGTTTGGGCATAGTGTTTTTTTCCCAGTCTAGTCAAGTAGGTCTTTTTACTACAGGATTTATTTAAATAACTGCTCTGTGAGTAACTCCTTAGGTTGGAGGTAAATTAATTGATGGGAGCTAAGAAATGAAGCTGAACTAATGGAAGATTAACTGAGTTCAAATTTCATTATGTTTTAAAAATGTCCATGCTGAAAATGTTTTGCGGAAGTTAATATAATTTTGTGATAAAAGCAATAGAAAGTTTAAAGAGAAATTTCCATCCCGTCTCTGGGTGTTTTGCCCCTGAACAAAATGCCATAAATACATTAATATTCACCTGCAGCCACAGGAAGAAAAGTTTACAGAAAAGAATATTCTGTGATTCATTGGGAAGGTTCACATCAATGAAGGCAAACAACATGTACAACAAAATATTAACGTCCTTGAAGTCTCTGGTTTGGATTAGCAGTGTCAGTCTTAGGAAGAAGTGAGCAGGTTTGGTCCCTTGCATTGTCACATCCTCCTGCTGCACAGCTTTGTGTCGGCCATCCAGCTGGAAGGATGCCTTGGTGGTAGTGACTGTTGTTTCAGCGGTGTTCCTTCACAGGCTTGTTTGGGCAGGGTAAGACTTTTCTCTTGTCCCAGAGGGTATCTCTTGAGGTCTCCTATTGCCGTGTCCTGTGCTCTAATGCATTTATAAAGGGACATTTTTACAGGGGTTTTTCAGACTTCCTCAGCAGCTGTAAGAAGTAATTTCTGGCTATAGGTGCCAGGTAATTTCAGTGTAGAAACTACAAGAAAAAAGATTGCTAAATGGCATTAACCAAACAGATGCAGTCAAGCTACCCGAATGTGAATAAATGAAAAGACAGTATCTTGTCAGTGAGCCAAATAAGATGAGAGCAGAACTGAAATGAGAAAAAGATGAGCAGTAACATGGAGTGCAGGAATGAGTGTTCCCAAGCGTGCTCCAATACTGTGTGGCGGCCAGCACTTCACAACAAAAAGTCTTTTTACAGTAGTTTTGTTGTTTCCTTTCTAATAGAAACCTGTCTTTTTTTTTTTTTTTTTTTTTTTTTTTTTTTATAGGCCTGGTGTGGCGTTCAGGAAGTGAAACTCTTTTTCTAAGCACGTGTTTTTGTAGCTGATTGTCATTTCATTGTACAGAGTGTTTTGGTTTAGGTTTGTGGTTGGTTTTTTTTTTCTGTTTGGTTTTTTTTTTTTCTTTTCTTTTAAGTAAGGACGGATGTGTGTACAAGGGAACAAGCCTGTGCAGTCAGTTCCAATCATTGTCTATGTAGTGAATTACTGGGGGGAGTTCATTCAGTTTCTCCTCAACAGAATGTCCCAAATGTGCAGGTAAAGGGGATTTTCAGTCCCCCCTGGCTTGATGAAGGAAAGTACTGAGCTCCTGTGGGAGCGAATACTCTCTTCTAACAACATTGGGAGTATGTGGGTGAGAATCACCCCAACAAATGCGATCCTGCTTTATCATTGGAACTTTGTTTTTGGAGTGAGATTTCAAAGCAATAGAGAGGCAGCAGTAGGTGGGGTCAGGGATAATGGATGATAGAGAGGCTGAGCAGTGTTTTACCTCTGAACACACATTTGGGATTTAACCTCCCACTTGTTTGGAAGGCATGGAGCAATGGAAGAATTTCTGTCTTCATTGCAGTCATGTTGTAGTCTCAGAAAAAAATCCATCCTGGGATTTCTGTCCCTGTTTGCCTTCTGCTGTTCCTCTTCTGTTGCACCCCACATCAAGTTTGATTGTAAAGATTCGTATCCATGATGGGAAGTTCTCATTCATCTGAAGGTGGAGCTCGATAAACTTATTTGGAAGAAAATTGTGCTGTGCAGTTTCTGTAAGTCAGAACTTAAGTAAGCGACTTGACAAAGTTCACAGGTGCTCACGTGCAGCCCTGGTTGGCTTGGATGGAAGCCACATGCACATGTCAAACAGGACCTGCTGCTCCTCATACCTGTACAGAATAGCTGGCAGTTTTAATGTGCTGCTTCCTTCAATTTTTCAGTTAAGTCTTGATTTTGCAGCTGAACTGGCTGCGTTGCTGCTTGTTTTCCAACATTCATATCAAACCTGACAGCTCAGTGAAGAGTGATGGGTGAAGTCCAGCAATGGAGAAGCAGCTCAACACAGCGTCCATGTGCAGAGGTGTTTGAAGAGATTTGGGAGGAGGAGGAGGCCTCTTGTTCTCCAGGGTGATCCTGTGAAGGCACCTGGACCTCTGGCTGTAGACAGTGACTACAGTCCCTCTTCCGTGTGTCCAGCCCATCCTTACTGATGGCACTTAATTACTTGGAGGCAGCCTGAGAATTACCCTCCCAATTAAGTCATTACCATTAAGGTTGTAATAATTCCCTGGGAAAAATTCTGATTAACCTGATTTTGCAATTACATTCTTACGAATGAGGTGTGATGTGTTCTTGTATACTACCACAGCTTGAGATATGGCTCATATAGAAAGAATAAAATCTGAAATCAGCTGTCTGGAGGAAACAGATATTGAAACTGTCAGCTTTGCATAGTAATTGTAATAAAAAATGGCTTGAGAAAGGAAGAAAAAAGCTTTGCCAGAAGCTGTAGCATTTCCTTTTCAGAAGTGTGCTTCTGCACCTCAGTTCTCCCTGGGGACTTAGGACTTCACAGCAAGGAAGGAGAGTATCTGTGGCAGATGCAGTTTTGATGATAGAGTTATGATAAGTGGGTCAGTTCATCTCCCTCCTCCCTGTTCACTCCAAAAGCTGCAACTACGGGAGTTGCAAGCGCAGCGTGAGGCAGAGAGCCTTTCAGCTCAGCTTTAGGAGACACAGTAAATCAGGACTATCTTCCCTCCTCAAGCAAAAGTTCCTTGCTGTGCATAGCCCTCCTGGAGCGCTGGAGAGCCCTGGTCAACAGCAGGGCTGACTTCTCTGGGGTGTTAGAGCAGGTGGGGGCCCTTCCTAGGCCAATAGAAGGTCTTTTAAATTGGAGTGGCCTAACAGAAAGGTGAGGAGAAACTGGTGGATTTGACCTCAGAGGACTGTGCTGGGTCTGATGTGGATTCTCCACAGTTTTACCCTGCTGTTTAACCAAGGGACAGTGTATCTGCTCTGTATGGTGAGGTTGGAAAAGGTGGGTCAGGAGGGAAGTTGCCAGCTGCTCCCCTGTTTCCTCTCTCACCTCTGTATCCTTTGTCCTTCCCCTGGAGAGGCTTTGTGGCTCCCTGGTCCTGTCACCCATGCCTGACCCTGGGCTATTTCACCCCAGGTGGAGCATTTAGGTAGAAGCATTGTTGTTCACCCTCTGCACTGCCTGGTAGCAGTTGGGGAGTGATAAAGCCTAACTGCCTTCCTTGCACTGAAGAGCCACGTTACAGTAATGTAGTTTTATCTCCAATACTTGTGCAGTTTAGAGCTGTTCATGTAAAACAGACTATTTAATCTGTCTTGCAAACACAACATCTGCTTGTTTCCTTGGGTACAGATTCCCCTGTGAGGGTGCCTGGGAGCTGTCTCCCTCTTTGGGTCCATGTGCAGTCCCAGCTGTGGCCCTGGACGTGCTGCAGAGGGTTACAGCCAGTACTCTTTCTTGGCTTCCAATTTGACTAAACTGTCAAAGCTCCTTATAAGCTTTAATACATCCCCTTGGGATGTATTCCCCATGTCTTGGGGAAATATTCCTGTCCCCATTTTGCAGAGGAGGAATGGTGTGGGTTAACCTTTGGCCAAGGATGTGTCAGAGCAGGAAACTAACCCCAGTCTCTGAAGTTAATGCCCTGCCTATTGAAGAACACTTTTGGCTGAAAGATGTTTCTAGTTCGGAGACATCAAAGGTTTATGGAAGTATTTAATTGCACAGGCAATGTTGTGTAAAACATGAGATTTGTGCACGGTCTGCAGAGCGAGGGAGCACAGCTGAGAGAGATGGTTATGGCTCATATATACACACACACACCCCATAGATGAGGTCCTGGACATAACTGAATTCTTTGCTAAACAAGTTTCAGTAGCGATAGCAGGTAATTTTGACATAGTTTTAAAAGATGTGTGGTTTTGGTATGGAGGCCCATCTGGTAGGGCAGCCAGCTCTCTAAATCATTCACAGTGGTTGGAGCTCAAATATTAAGAGCCAAATCCTGACCCAAGTGAGTCACTTGCCTGGATATTAATGGGGTTGCAGTTTGGTCCTGCTGCATGTTTAGGCAGGGCATTTCCTCTTGTTATTTCTAAAGGAAACAGACTTTGTGCTAGCGGATATCCTTTGCTTGCTTTTCGCCTTCCCTGGTAAAAACAAGATGAGTGGCGAGATGTTCAGCTGGGAAATAAAAAAGAGAAAATCCACTCATCTCTTGATAGGCTATTTATATCCTACTTCTGAAAAGTACTGTATGATAATGTCCCTTTCCCAATAACTGCAGTGGTGTAAGGCTCTTTCTGCCCTCTCAAGCCAGCATGAAGCTGTAATAGCAGCACTAGGATGTCCAGGGGCTGTAGTGGGTATTAGTGGTAGTAGTGAGTATCTTCTGTTTTAGAGGCAACATCCCAAAACACAGGTAAGCAGCCTACCTGGATTTGCAGGCATGCACACTGGATGGGTGGGGGGTACATGGAGGAAGCTCTGCCTGGTATCTGGCCAGAGATGATTTGCAGGGAGTCTGACTTCTTTACCCCCAGCCCTTATGCAGCTCCGGTGCTCACCTTTCTGCTGATACAAGGAGATGGTTCAGCTAGATAGAAGGTGGTTCACAGCTAGGTTTCAAAAATGCGAGAGCATTGCTATCTTGATTTAATCAAAACCACAAACTAATCTCCTTCTAGCACCAAGAGGCTTGGGCCAAAATGGGCTTACAGGTTAATTGCTTTGTGGGGTTTTTTTATTGTTACCTGTTGGAGTGGCTGCTTGGCAGCAGTTAGACACCGTGTAGCTGAGCTGGAGCTGGAATATGTCAGTGGCTTAGAAAAGACCTGGGGCAGGTTGTGAGTGTCCTGCCCTGATGTGGAACAGGACTGTGGGTGCAGGTGGGCAGGGGCAGGGAGGGGACATCTTTTTCCCTTCCCTGCCATCGAGATCCAGGGAGGTGAATGCCGTTAACTTATTTGTTTTGTTTAACAGCTGCTAGGGTTTTTGAGTCGGAAATAATTTTCCGGAAATCTGTGCTCAGATGGTGAGCCCAGATGCCCAGTTGGAAGGACATGTGTGAAGCTGCGAGAGCTGTGGAAGAGCTGGAGTAAGACACGTCTGCAGTTGCTGTACGATGTAAGAAAGGAAGTAGCTGATGTCCCAGGCTGTAACATCCCAACTGACTTTATCTTCTAATTCCTGTCCTGCTCACGTGCCTCAAAGGTGTTTTTTCCAACAGATGTCACATTTCTGATCCACTCTGTCTCCCTTTTCTGCACTGAGTTTTGTAGATAGAAAGCAGTACCTCATTTTCAGATGCAGTCGTGAACCACAGTGTTTTGTGTGAGTGAAAATGAGTGTTGTTGGTTTGAATAGTTGGTCCCATCTTTCCCGAGAGCTTTGCTGTCACCAAAACCTGCTTGAGCTCCTGTGAACTCCCTCTTTTACATGGCAGTTGGGGCACCCTGCTCACAGGCTAATATGGTTTTGTTGGAAATAAGAAAGTTTCAAGGCTTTGAGGAGTGCTGGGCTGCCATGGGTTTTGAATGTGATGATAACACATATAAACAATATAAAGGTGTTCAGGGAAAAAGAAAAATCATCTATGTGCAGGACCTACCTGCAGCAAAGCCAGAAATTCAGGTGCACCTGTAATTGCTTGTGTTTTATCCTCCCTTTACCTGCCTTGAGGTCTTGTGGGGAGAAGACATGAGAAGAGCTCTGCTTTTAGCCCAGCATGGGGTAGCCATTTCCATCTCTCACAGCACGGATGGGGATCTTCTGCATATGGATAATGCTAAAACTTTAACCTTCCTTCTCATACCCCGCAGCGATGTGTCCCTGTCTGTAGAGGAATTGCGTCTAATTTGTGCAAGCTGTGAATCAGAACTTCTTTGATGCCAACTCTAATTCCCCTTTCTTGCCTTTACAGGTTTTGTTACCAGCTGCTAGTTTACTGCAATTGATGGATGTTAGAAAAAACTGCTGTGACTTTCTTCAGTCCCAGCTGCATCCCACAAACTGCCTTGGAATCCGAGCTTTTGCTGACGTGCATGCGTGTACTGAACTGCTGCAACAGGCAAATGCCTACGCAGGTGAGGGCAGGGTTTTCTGAGTTAAACCTGCTTCCAGGTACAGCGACTCGTAGGTTGAGCAAGATCAGCACATCCTGGTTGGTCTCTTCATGCTTCTAGTATTAGAACAGGAAGGGAATATTTTATCATGTTATAGACTTGCAACTTTCTGTGATGCTGCAAGTCATGAAATGTGTTTGGGTTGCAGGGGAACACCTAAGGAGGTAAAAAACCCCTGATCCTCTGGATTCCAGCCCACAGAATAGTTCCTTAGTATGTTCCTAGTAAGCTCTTTGGCTGTGTGTTCAACAGCACAGTGTTGGCATGCTGGTGTCCCCTCCATGTGCGCTGCCCCATGAGAACAGTAGGCAATGCTGGGGATTTATTCTAGGAATAAATGGCGCTGGGCAAAATTAAATTTTGTGGGTACAAGTGGGAATGCTCAGCTAAAATTGTCATGCAGTTTGAGCCTCTGATCTGTGGAGTGATGGCCACTTACCCCAGGGGTGGACAGACTCTTGTTTCCTCGAGGGTGGATGTGTTTGGTTGCAGTAAGTAGGTGGAGGCAATGGCTTTCAGCATTTCTCCTCTGTGTTGTAAATGTAAAGATGTTCCAAGCAGCCCCATGCTCTTAACTCCCTGGCACTTTCCAGTCTCCTCCAGCAGAGTTGCCCTTGACCTCTGCTTGGGACAAGCTAGTAGTTTTCTCTACTCAGTTTGCTTTTCTGTCTATTTGTATAGGGAGAAATACACCTGCTGTCTCCCAGAGCACCTGCTCTGTCCTGCATCGTTCCCCTTGGTCCGGTTTTGTCCTTAATTGGACCATAAGTAGGCTCAGTGGAATAAAAACGTGCCCACCAAGTCCTCCCCTATTGTCCTGCAAATAAAAGTAAAACCTTTTCAGCTGCTTTGGGTGTATTATCCCCTGGAGGAAAAGGTACCCTGGAAGGAATGGTTAACTGTATAAAAGCTTGCTTGTAATATCTCATTATCCTTGCTTCCAGGCCCTTTTTAATCTTTAACCCAACAAGCAGTGCATTCACTGTATATTTATTTGGTTGTTTGGCAATTAGAAAGTCTGCTTTGTTGTTTTATTGGTCTTCATAAGTCCCAGTTAGTACAACAGCCCATGTAATGTTAATGGAACTCCATTAATAAAAATGCCATTAAAATTCTTTTCACTATGTTATTTATGTAACAGCATTAAACCAAGACAGAAGTCCCCAAGCTCAAGAGTCCATGCATGCATGAGCTCAGTTACTTGAGAAATGCTTAGTTCTGGCCAATGGATAACTTCAGTAGGTGGAGGAGCCTTCTTGATACAGGCACGAGTTACTTAATTCAAATCAGTAGATATTTTTACTTGCTTCCAACTAATAACAAGAGATCAAATATCTTTCTACTGCCAGATGCCAGTCCAGAATGAATAGGAGATTGTATCCAGAAGTCAGAGTGCATCCAGCTTACTGTGTGGGGAACATTTCCTGTTTCTCGAGTATTTAAGGCCAGAAGAGTTCATTAGATCTTATATATGATTTCCAACACAGCTGAGTATTAAAGTTCATCCAGATACTGCTGGTTTTAGTCAGAGCCTTTGGCTTAGCTGTGGTGTTTTGGTCCCCATTAGTCCGAGTAGGGCCCATGGTTGGGGAAGCACAAGTGTCCTCTGCAGCACCAGCATTGGTGAGGAGTTTCAGGTGCAGTCTCCAGGGAGCTCCTCTCTGGAAGTTACTCCAGCTTGTGTCCCTGGGGTACTGCTATTTGGCAGGCAAAGCACTTTGCAGATGTGAAAACTAGAGGCAGATCTTGCTGTGGAGGGAGCTCTTTGAATACATGAGTCTGAGCTTCTCAAAGCTAAAGATTAGAGCTTGAAAAAAGCTGCTTCAGATGAAGTGTCTGAGATTCGTGTTTCTGTATTTCAACCAAAGATAAGTGAGACTCAGCAAATGGCAGGTGAGATTAAATTGACGTGTATGTAACCAATGCTTGCAAAACTAAAATTGTCTGCAACTGGCTAATAATGGTTTTGACCTAGAAATTATTTTTTAGAAAGTAATTCTTTCCTAGTGCCCTTCGGCTAGATGTACGGCTTGACAGATTAGATGATCCTTTTTTGGACGTGTATTGCAATCAGTCATAATTCTTCCCATTTGGGATTATAAAGAGTGATGTGTATTTGGTTTTCAAGTGGCTCCCAAAGTTACAACATGGAGGGATTTGGAGGCAAAAAGAGAGAAAAATAAACTTCTTCAGTTGCAGACTTGAGTGGAAAGGGTCAAGCTGCTGGGGAAGATGGGTGCTGAGGGTTTGGAGCAGGAGAGAGGTTAAATTTACACATTTGAGGGGAAGAAGTAAAAGGTGGACAGAGAGGAGGAGAGCTGATCCCATGCACGTACGTGGGATGAGCCTCCCCCTTGACCATCTCTCCCTGTGCCCCCGTCGCACATACAAATTCAGCTGGATGCCCTGGGATCCCTCACTGTTTGCTGCTGAGCGTGGGCACCAAACTGCCCGATTCATGTTAAAGGTGGGCTTTTCCTTTGAATGCCTACGCGTATCAAGAGCTCTTGCTGGAGTCTCTCATCCAGGTGTTGAGCGGATCTGATGCTGCCTAGCTTGTTGAAGTGGGCAAGAACTGAATCTCGAGGTGGCCAGTTTATTTACTACTTCAGAAAAGCGTTGTCACTTTTTTCAGTTGGCACTTCTAATCCTATTTGCCACTGGAAGGTACCTTGTGGCTTTTCAAAAAGTTAAGCTCCCATTTAGTGTTATTTATGAAATTGTCTCATGGGGCTTGTGCTACTTGAAATAACATCAAATTCCTTTAACCTGCTCTGAGACTATTTTCTGTTCCTGTTCCGTCATGCAGTCACAGCGTGTTGTTTGTCTCGAGTGCTCAGAGCTGTAATAATAGCAGTTCTCTGAATGCTGTAGTCCTTCCCTTGACTTAAAGCATGGATTTCATTATAATTTTCTGTTCCCCCTTTTCATTTGTTGAACAGAGCAGCACTTCCCTGAGGTGATGCTAGGAGAAGAATTTCTTAGCCTTAGTCTGGACCAGGTTTGCAGTTTAATATCAAGTGACAAGCTCACGGTCTCCTCTGAAGAAAAGGTACAGTAAATTGTATAGCAACAGTGAATGTAAGAATGCTGGAATGTTTATAGATCTTACATCAGGAACTGTTCTCATGTTATGCTCTTCAGGGGCCATTTTCCAACAGAGCTCACGTGAAAGGAAAATTAAAAATAATGTGAATCCTAAAAACACATAAAAATGACCTTCACTTGGTTGTTCTTTGCAGGAAGTAATGATTCTCAGATCCATATCACTTCCAAAAGCCCTGGGGGCCAGAACCAAATACCTTCCCTCTCTGGAAAACGAGGAACCTCCCATCTGCTGTTGTGTAAAGCTCTTGTTACCTGCTGTAAAACCTCAAAAAAAAGGTGAATTTAATTAGGCCAGGGAAGAGTATTGCCTTCTGTTGCATGTTGGACAGAAAAACTAAAGGAGGCCCACAACCAAATGGAGGGAAGTAAACATTGTTCTTGGAATTCCATTTCTTGAATGGAAGAGGGGAGAAAAGGCACTGGTTGATGTTTTGTGGCTGAAATGTTCAGCACATCTTTAGTCTGTAGTTCTGGGAAGGAGGGTTGACCAGTACTTGGTGAACACCAGGTCCAGCCCCTTTCTCTGGTGTGGGCTTCTTGAGTGACCCACAGCGGGTTTCTGGGGAGAGGTGTGTGCCTTGAGCCCTCAGCACACCTCCAAACTGTTGCTATGGGGAGATGGACACTTGTGGGAGACTACAGAAGAGCTCGTAACTTCAGGACCCTTGTTGAACACGTGCATTCTGGGGGGTGAAGCTGGACCTGAGCGTGCTTGGTGCACCCCTGGTGTGTGTACCCCTCTGGGCTGCAGACAGGCGGGTGTTTGGGCCCACAGGGACTCTAAAGCTTGCCAGAAAACCTGCACCACGTGAGGTGTGAGTACAGCGATGCTTCGTGTAGATCCTGAGCCAGCAAACTCGGAGGCTTCCTTTCCGCAGGCGTGGGGCTAGCGTGGGCATCTCGGCGGGGTCCTACGAGGTGCCACACAGGCAGGGCCAAAAAGGGAAAAAACAAATGGCCTGAACTCGCAGCAGAATTGCTTTGTGTGAGCCAAACAGCCTGCAAAGGGAAGTGCAAGTTTAGTAACCAATTTTTCCAGTCCTGTGCAGCATTGTTAAAAAGCTTTTATTGGCCTTGTGCCCAGAGAAATCAAAGTACTCCCCCCCCTCATCTGAGCTTTATACAATCAAAACCAGTATTTCTTTAGCTGATTGTAAAAGTTGAGAATGCAAGGCAGTGGAAGGAAACGTAAGCATAAGCTGCACGTTCAGAACAACAGATACAAATAACAGAAGAGAGAGGCAGAGAATGGGATTGGAACGTAAACATGAAATATGTGCTGAAAATTGGGGACAGACTCCTATGCTGCTGTTGTGTTCACTTCGTGACAGGCAGTCAGTTTTCCTGACCTTTATTCTTTCTCTCTGCTAATGTATGAGATATATATTAGAAAAAAAAATATATATATAAATACATATGTGTGTATATCTGTGCAGACATACACAGGTTATCTATGTGTATGCATGTGCACATGTGATGGATAGCTATTTATTTTTAAACAACAAGATTGTGTAAGTAGGCACTTCAAACATTTGAGAGCTAAGTTGTCAGAGCCAGATTTCACGAGAGGCTTTCTTGTTCCTGTTCTGACCGAGTCTCACACCTGTGCCACAGCCTGAGAGCCAGTGTTGCCATCTCTGGGTCAGTGGGAAATGTTATAGCTCAGTCCTGCCAGGGAAAGGGAGGGGAGTTTTGCCCTTACAATGCTTCAAGGCATGTGTGCCCAAAAAAGCTTGTGTGTTCTCCCCTTCCTCTGCCGCCCTTCCCAAATAATATCAATTGGCCTAATAAAATATATTTTTTTTATCTCCACAAATTTTGGCGTACTCCTATCCATAGGCCGTCAGGACGACAAAAATTGTCTGCTACCACAGAAATGTGTTTCAATTGTACAATGGTGACTTTTCCCTGTTAGGCAAAGATTATGCTCCTTTCTCTCCCTTTCCCCCTTGCTGTTGCCAGACTCCGCAGTCGCACGGGCCCTTTCAGCCTACAGCAAATGTTTGTTTTAGGCCCTTCATGCTCTTTTTGTTATAGCTGAGTACTTTGAAGACAGTTTTATCAATGCTTTCTGTACCTGACCTAATTAGCTCTTTAATTATAGAAGTGTGTGCAAGCAAGGAAAAACTCTAAAAAGTCACGTTTATTCATAGTTATATATGATTTGTGAAATGGAGGGGCTTCCAGCCCTTGAGAAGGGGCTCCTGCCAACTCAGAACAGTGACAAAAGAAATTTTTTAAAGGGTTTGGGATTTTGATTTGAGGATTTTAAACAGTCCAGTAATGGGCTCATCGTCTCATACCACTGACATTAAGTAGAAACTGATGTACAGTTTAGTCCTCACTCCTGAGAGTATCTAACAACTGGATTTTTGGCTGAAGAGACTGGGAAGACATCTGGCCTTGCTCTTTGCTTAGGTAGTGAGTGGAAGGGATATTCCAGGCTTTCCCCCTTTTGCTCCGTACAGTGGGAAATCTGCTCCTCCCAAGCTCAGGGCTGCTCTTAATAGCCAGGCAGGTGCCAGCTGCTAACTCAGCCTGTGCCTCTGCTCTAAATAAAGCTGTGTGGGTAACTGCTTCATTTCATCACACCCTGGTGACAGGTCATGCACGGCTGGAAAAACCTGGGGGTCTCCTGGGGGAGCAGCAGCAGCTGCTCGAGGTCTGTGGTGGGCACAGCCTGCGAAGCGAGGGCATGGCACTAGTGGAAACAGATGTGGCCTTTAAATAGACATATTGCTGTTATGGATTAAGGTGTTTTTTTGGTTTTTTTTTTCTCCTCCTCATAAAATTAGGAATCAACACCAACAAAAGGTGCCAGAAACTGATTTTTGAAAAAATTCTTCTTATTTTTTTTAGAATAGGCACAGCAGGGTAGCCTCAGTGTATGCCTAACTGAGGAGCAGTCTCCAGCACCAAGGAAGCAGTTTATTCCTTGTGCACATTTGCTTTACCTTCCTTTGAGACTTGTTAGCTGTCATCTTGGTCTGTACCTGGGTATGTCCCAGTCCTGTGACATGTTCTGTAGCTCAGCATTTGTGCAGAAGAGGTTAATGAGAAGCATGTTTGGCTAAACATTTGCTTTATGCTCCTTCCACACTCATTTGCAATTGAAAATCTCACAACAACCTAGTTTCCACTTTAAATGCCCTGTAGCCAAAGTGAAATTGTTTGTTTATTTAGATATTTTCATTTCAAAATAGTCAAAGGTTCTGCAGTGGTTATCTTCATCTGGGTTTGCTGGGGCTTGATTACGTGGCTCCCTGTTGCGTTGCTTAAATCCTCATTGCAGCATCCTGAATTCCAAACGGTTCAGCAGGAGCATTTGTTGGCATGGGAAATAAGGCTGGTGCTTTACTGCTTTTTTTTTTTTTTTTTTTTTAAGTAAGTATATGGTTCTGCCTAAGAGGAAGAAACCCCTTTGCACTCTGCCTCTCCTTTGTGGGAGGACGTGTCTGCCCGGTGCCTCCTGCAAAAATACATTTGCCAGCAACAATTGGGGACTGAGAGAGATGGTGGCCTCAGTTCTGGTTGATCTTGTCAAATTAGTGACCTTGGACCAAACAAAATGGTTTCTTGGGGAGGGATGGGAGGGATGGAAAGAAAGAAAAAAATATCTGTGCAAATTGGCCTGACCATTTGGTGACCCGAGGGGAGTTGAAACCAAGGGCACTCGCCGAGTGTGCTGGGGCAAAGGGCCAGCGATGCTTTTCGGGGGCAGCACAGGACGGCTGGGGTCTGTGGGAGAGGGCTGTGCTCAGCCCCCCGTGAGTAATTGGGTAGCGAGAGCAGTTGGGGAATTTTGCCAGTAGATGTGAGTTAAGGGTCAGAATTTATTTCTGACTCTGTGGGGAAACTCCACTGCAGTGATCCAGATCCTGCTGTGCAGCATCTGAGACTGCACCAGCCCCTCTCCTAGCCTTCCTGGGTGTCTCAGGAAGACTTTCCCGCTCCCGGTGACATTTTCAAGCCTTTCTTCTGGGAGGAGTGAGGCTCACGGTTATATAAGCACATACATATTCATGCTGGAGCCCACATAGGACGCTTCTGCCCGCGTCTGTTCATTGCGCAGGGCTCTGCGTGGCTCCTGCTGCATGGGGTTGTTTGCGAGGAGTTTGTCACAGAGTCAAAGTTTGGATGCTTATCTGAACCGGTTGGATCTGGGAGTAAAACTAGATTTTGGTTCAGACTCAAAGTCCAGTGTGTCCTTGTTTCCCAGCTGGAATATCCGAGTGATTTTAGCGGTGAAATGCACACAGTGCAGAGGCTCCGCGGCTGCAGGCAAGGCTTTTCCTGTGCCTGGGGTGAACTCGTGCTGAAAACTAGTTGGGTTTTGGGGAGGGGGGAGAACTGGTGCAGTGATTAAATATGATGGCGAGAGTAGTGACTTACTGTGTGACGAGACTCCTTCAGGAGGGGACATCTCTGTTACCAGGAGTAATCGCTGGGGCTGATTTCATGAATAATGTTCAGTGCAAATGTCAGCAGGCTAATGAAGCTTCCTGGCTGCCTTCCAGGACTAATGTTCAAGAGGGATATGATTGTCCTGGAGACATGCTTAGCTTTGAGAGTGATACAGCACATCTAGATGTGAAGTGGCTTATTAATATGCATGGTCATCTCACCTCTTCACTACCATGGTGCTTGTGCTCTGCGTAGTCATGACTTTCTCATCTGTTTGATAGAGATCTTGCACCTCCTTCCTTCAATATTTTAAAATCATAATGCTTCTGATTTTGGGTACGTGACTCTGCCAGCCAGTTTTCTCCGTTTAATTGTACTTTATCTGTGTAGGTCTTCGAAGCGGTTATTTCTTGGATAAATTATGAGAAGGAATCTCGCTTAGAGCACATGGCTAAACTGATGGAGCATGTTCGCCTACCCCTTTTGCCCAGAGATTATCTTGTACAGGTTAGTCTGCAAATAAGTAATTAATACTTGCACTTAAGCTGCTGTTAGCTCCTTAATCAATGGCTTGGCTGTTTGTGTCTGCGATGGGTAATTTTGACATGTTGCTGAGTCTGTAAATGGAGGAATAAAAAGAAAAACTGGGTGGAATCTGATATTAATGAGTGTGCGGAAGCTTTCTGGTAAACATGACCTGTGCTGAGAGCAGAGCTCCAGCCCCTCTTGGTGGAAGCATTTAGCAGTTAATATCTTTGGATTTTTCACCCAGAACCACCCCAGGTGGGGGTGTTACAAGTGTATGTGTTGTTTTTTTTTCCCCCCCTAACACACAGGTAAATTTAGCTTGGTGAAAACACACCATGTGTGATAATTTTGGCTTAAGATACGTTTTGCACATAGAGATGGGTCTGTGTGACTGGTAGGTGAGATGCTCTCTGGCTTAGAGATTGTTCTTCATGAGTTAATGCCTGGGATCTGGGCCTCGATAATGAGCTGAGAATCCCCAAAGAAGGGGTTGGCACATGGGCTCTTTGACTATGCTTTTATCATGTGTCTAAAAAGATCACAGAATCATCTAGGTTGAAACAGACCTTGAAGATCATCCAGTCCAACCACTGAAATACAGTTCAATCAATGCAGTTGAAATAAAATTGGTATTCACAAGATGAACCCATCATGTATTTTTTTAATCTCAACTGTATCTTCTGATCAAGTAAAAAAATTTGCCTCTCCTTAGAAAATTCTGACTCAGATAAAAGAAATTACTTATTTTGTACCCAGACTCCCGGTGAATTCTCCTCTGCTGAGTTAAGTGTCTGGCAGAGGGAGCACTGCTACTCCTGAGTGATACTGAAAAAAAGTGAGAAGTTTGAATGTTACTACTGCATGTGTTTCTTTGGGAAGAGCTGGAAGTCTGTGTTTTCCTTTTGGTTTTTTTTTTTAAATGTTGGTACTTTGGAAGAGAAATTCCAGGTTTCATGTTCTTTCCACAAAGCTCCTTGTGACCTGTGCCACCGAGTACTTCAGTTTAAATGATCTTTCATGTGTGTGCGTGTTCTCAGACAGTTGAAGAAGAAGCTTTAATCAAGAATAACAATACCTGTAAAGACTTCCTTATCGAGGCCATGAAATATCATTTGCTTCCTCTGGATCAAAGGCAACTGATAAAGAATCCCAGAACAAAGCCAAGGACTCCTGTTAGTCTGCCAAAGGTAAGCTGAGTTTGTCGCTTCGTGTCACCTCATGTTATTACTGGTGGCATTTTCTGTCCTTTAAAGGAGTTTGTGGACTTGCCACATTAGCTCTCACTAACTTTATGATCATCCTTTGAAGTGTTTTACTCCCTCTTCTGGTACTGCCTGTGCCCTCCAAGGCTACATAATTAAGTTGGATAAACTTAGATAAACCCTTAGGAGAAGCAAGATCTCTGCTCCCAGGGGCAAGGGTCTGCTCTTGAAACATTTTGTCAGCTACAGGTGCTTTTGTGAATGGCTGTTGCCCCTGGAGCTGCGGCTGGAGAATCGTGGACCCGTGGAGCAGCAGCAGGCGGCTGCCTGCAGTGCTCAGGGTCTTTCCTTTTCCTGGATCCATAATCGGAAGCCAGGAAAGCGGGAAGCTGTGGCACCCAGACCTGCGGGCAGGAAGTCTGAGGCAAATGACAATAGACTCAAAGCAGCTACTGAGTAAATAACCTTTATTACTCCCCGCATTTATCCTGCAGGTGTGATGCTCTGGCCACTGCTTTATTAGAGAAGAAAAAAAATGACAACAGAAACTGTTTTCCCCGGAGATAAATGCAGTTTGGCTCTCTCACCAGCCTGTTGCTGGAGTTATTAACAAGCATTTCAGCGATTGTAAGACATCAAAACCACAGTGTATTATTTTTCTAAGCACAAATCATCGGGAGCTTGGTTTGTGGGATGGTGTCTGAGATATGTGCTATGAGAGGCACTGTTCAGATGTTTAGATAGTAGAATATCCATCGAGAAATTGTGGTTCTGCAGAGTGTGCTGATGTGTTGTGGCCCTTCTGCCTGCACTGAGATGAAGTTGGTAGGACGTAGCTTTGGGGGTGTCACGAAGGGCTGACACTGACCCTTGTTCAAGGACTAAAGGATAAAATGAATGGTGAACCAGCGAGTTCAGAGGTGCTTGGCATCATCTATAGCATGACCTATGAGTACAAACCCAAATCTTCTGCAGGTTTTTCCTCCCTTATTTTTAACTGTAAAGAAAGGGGAGAAGGTGATGATCTAGCAATCCTGTTACTGAGAAACTTTCATCTGGTCTGTTGGTCCCACTGATAAGGGATTGATTACTGTCTGCTGTGAAAGCTCTTAATTCTGTAATCATGTGAAGCTCTGCAGCTTTCCATGGAAGACTCTCAAACAGCTAGTAGTCAGGCTGCTAGTTTAGACTCAACTTGCTTTCTAATGTCACGTTCTCATTTTTTGTAGATCAAACAGCCCACTATTTTCATACCCTTCAGGTTCCTTAAATTGCTGTCTGGCTCTGTACATTCAAAGCAACTGTGATTGGAGTTGAGCTCATTACCCGGGTGACCTTGAGTGACGATCTGATCCTCTCAGCTACTCACATCTGCCTTGTAGAGGCAAAAACCAGTTTCCCATCTACTCTTTGACTATATTTGAAGTCCCGTTACCTTGCTTCTATCTCCTTGGCCTTGTAAAAAATCAGATTGCCTTGGGTAGTGTTTGCTCCTTCTGATTTGCTGCGATAAGGGGAGCAAATCCCCCTCTTGATAGCTGTGGAGGGTCGAAGGTAACGTGTTTGGAACAAAGTGCAGGCCAAGCTGTTTGTAGGTGCAGGTGGGTTGGATGCTGCCTGTGCACGTGTTGGTTTGCAGTGCTCAGCGGGGGCTCAGCAGCGATGGGCAGGCCTCGAGTGCTGAGCTGCAGGCTCCTGGGACCAGTGGCCCTGGGCAAGGCAGCAAGTCCGTGGGGAGTTTGTCTTCTGGTGGCAGACAGAGCAGATTTGGGAAGTACCACACCGCACACCATCCAGGACTTCTCACTTTTCCACCAGTGTCCACCGCTTGCTATTGGTGGGAATGGAGCCTGGGGCTGGGCGGACCTTTAGCCTGACCCAGCAGAGCGGTTCTTGGACTCCTGAGATTGCCCCTGATCACCTTTATGTAGATCTTCCCTCCTCTAAGGAATTTAGGGTTTAATCACTAGATTTGCATCCATACACATTGCAGCCAGAAGCCTTAATGAAGCTGACAAATCACTTCCTTCAGCAGCCCAGCACCCTGGGTTTTAATAGTCCTGGTGATTTCCCCGAGTGTCATATTCCCCGCAGGTGGCAACACAGCTGTCAGGTTTTATTTGCTAAGTGCCATTGATTATTTTTAGCACCACCATGGAGATAATGACTAAACAGTGGGCTGGCTGTGGAAATTACGCTGGGATCTTCTTCACTTAAAAATACTTCTGCAGTGAGTCTTGCATATGCCGTGGTGCCAAGCGGTTTTGTGTTTCATGGGAAAATAGGGCAGGTTGCCCACCTCGGAAATGATGAGGAAGGGTTAATGGGGCTGCCATATTTAGCATGCATTAAATTGGAGATAACTTTTCCACCTTGGAATCTAACTGACTGAAATAAGTGTCTCTGCAAAGGCTTTTACAGCATGGTTTTGGTAGCTACTCTTGACCAGGTTGTGGTGATGGTTTCTTTGCAGAGAGCAGCTGCCCGGGCTGGTGTCTGAGGTTTTCTACCTCTTGTCTTCCCTCTCCAGGTGATGATTGTGGTGGGTGGGCAAGCGCCCAAAGCCATTCGCAGTGTGGAGTGCTATGATTTTGAGGAGGAGCGGTGGGATCAGGTTGCTGAGCTTCCCTCCCGGAGATGCAGAGCAGGTAACAGGAACTTTCGCTGCAACCTTCTTTGTTTTCCTAGTGCAGCTCTTCAGTGCTGGGTGGATGACCTCAGTCATCACCCACGCCTCAGCCTTCCTCTGTGCCTCTGGCCTCAAGCAGCTCTTTCTTTTTACCATTCCCTCCTTTTCTTTCTCTACAGACATGCATTGTTCTCATTCAGGTGGACACCCTGCTCTCTAGAGGGGTGTTCCTGCCTGTCTGCCCTCCATAGCCACTGTCTCCCCTTCATCATCTCTCTCTTCTGGCTCCTCCTCCATCAGTGTTTCTCTTCCTTCTCCCATCCCACTGGCCTGACAGCTCACAGGGATCCAATTTTCCTTGCTGGCTTCCTAGTGAAAAAATCAAAGGAGCTGAGTCAGTCCCTCTCAGTGCTGAGGCGTGGGTGATGAAGAGCAGATCAGTAAGTTGGGAGTGTTCCTCTGAAGACATCTGAAAGGCTGTGAATGTAGATCACCATTTGGTGTTCTCTCTGGCTCAGAAAATTACTCATTCAGGTGTGAAATCCATCTGTGCCTTATGTTGTCGTGTATTTATGTGCCTTTCACCTTCCGTACGACACGTATGTTTTATCATACTTGCCTCTAATGCTCTTAACCTGCAGAAAATGCCGGAGACTTGCCCACGTTCTGCTCTTCCCTGCTGTCTTATATACCCTGGCAGACGTCTGATGATACTCGCTTCCCAAACTGTGTGTAAAACCTCCGTAAAATCTCTCTCCTCCTTTTATCAGGTGTGGTATTTATGGCTGGCAATGTTTATGCTGTCGGGGGCTTTAACGGATCTTTGAGGGTACGGACGGTTGATGTGTACGATGGTGTGAAGGACCAGTGGACATCCATAGCCAGCATGCAGGAAAGGCGAAGCACTTTAGGCGCAGCTGTGCTCAATGATCTCCTGTACGCAGTGGGCGGCTTTGATGGCAGCACTGGTAGGTGACTGAGCAAAAACCAGGCAGTGCCTGACCTGAAAAAATGTTTTCAGAGACCCCTGCAAAGCCTGAAGAGCTTTAGTGAAAATCCCTGCGCCCTTCCTCTGTGATATTGTAGAGAAAGAGCCAGAGCTTGGGTTTACTCTGTGTTGTAACTAACTACGTGCGTGTTCTGACCAATCAGTAATTGCAGAGAATCTCGCTCTATTTTTTTCCTTTAGTAATACAGTTCTTTCAGTCTCATTCTCTGTATGAATATGCTTTTTCTGGACTGAAAAGGGATTTTTTTTCTTCTTGTTTTAGTTAAATTTTTCATAGCAACATGAATAAAATGCCAGCGAGGCATCTTATGGGGTATGTGAGTCTGGGATTTATCTTGGCATAACTGCATGTTTAGATTCACAGCTCTGCCTCTGCTGTAGAGCTTTGCCACTTGATTAAGTCCTAAACTAAGTATTTCAGGTGGTGGTGTGTACAATGCAGGAGGGTCTGGGGGAGATTTTAAACCTTTGTATGGATATTTTGAAATACTTGAAAGGATGTGGGACTTTTGGGCTTGGAATCAGGACTCTGCTCCACCTTGGTGTTCCCAGCACATCAGAGGGGCAGTAGTCCCAGGGCAGGGGCGATGGGGTAACAATTTTTCCATCTGCTGAAGTGGTGGCGTTGACGCGCTGGTCCCATCCTGAAAGGCATGGGACTAGGAAATTGGGTTGCAGGAGTGTGGGGGGAATTATGGGCTTGGGAGGAGGTGGAAGGCAGATGAAAGTGCAACACCAATCTTTTTTTCTTCTCTTTTTTTTTAATTAGAAAACCTGTGTATCCCCTTTTTAACTAGGTCTGGCATCAGTTGAGGCCTATAGCTATAAAACCAATGAGTGGTTTTTTGTGGCTCCCATGAACACAAGAAGAAGCAGTGTTGGAGTCGGAGTTGTGGAGGGTAAGAAAATCAGCAGCTATTTCCGTCAAACAAATGATACTGTGTCAAACAGAAGCCTGAATGGTTAAGTGCAATAGGCGGGAACTGTAGGAACTGTTCTCTTGACTAGTTGGTAAAGATTTATTTTATATGATGTAATTGCTGCAGCTTTTTCTATTCTTCTCTTTATCTTAGTGAAAAATCATATGTAGCTTTCCAAGAGCCTCAGACCCGTATCAGACCAGCCCATGCCTCCTGCCTGTGAATGCCATTAGGTGTGTGCAGGCTTCTTGGAATCCTTATTCTTCCTGGGCTGCTCCTGGCCAGTGAAAACACATAGTATTGTGCAGTGAATGCTGTTGCTATCAGCAGACACTGCGTGGATGGAGTACCCATCACAGAAAATCTGCTCAGAGAGAGAAACAGGAGCACAGTTCATCCCACAGCCCCAAGCTGGTGGTTTGGCAGGAATACTAAAACCTATGTTTCTTGACATCAGGCTTACTGGCATGCACAGCATGCTTTGCTCTGGTTCGTAAAGGAGCGAGGACTGGTGAGAGCAAACGCTGGTGCTGCGGCAGCTCGGGAGCGAGGTGGGTGCAGAGGGTGCTCGGAGGGATCGTGGCAGTGGTTGGCACCGATGTGTCAGCCCCAAACTTGAGTGAGCTGGAACTGAGCAGCTTGGTTTGGATCCAGGAGGAAGAGCCGTTTAAATAGAAAACTTTTTTTTTTCTTTAGCAAAATCAATTCTGAAGCAAGTGAAAGGTTTTATTTGAGCTCGTCTTCAGCGTGGCGTAGCAGTTTGCAGTTAGTACAGTGTGGAGCAGCTGCTGGCACAAGCCTTGTTATAAACTGCTCTTTAAAGTGGTTTGGTTTGACCTGTTTGAATGGGAAATGCATGAAATGTGTTTAGGTGTTTGAAATGTGTTTATGTGAGAAGAGGGAGGGAGATAAAGTTAGAATAAATAGCAGTGGTTGTGCTAAATTTGCATATTTGTTTAAGCAGCATCTCCCCCAAAACTGGCCCATGCTTGTGAAGCACTGGGTTGCTGATAGTCATTGGGATTTGCTGAAGTGATTTGAATGCAATCATTTGAATGCAGATTAAATCTTAGGTATGTACCTGAGATGCATTTCTATGGGCAGGTTTTCTACCGGAGACATACGAAATCCTTTTCTTTTGCTTTGTTTGAAAGTGCACGTAAGCGTTGCACATGTTGGAGCCCATGATAAAAAACATGAGGGCATGTGATGGGGAAGAAGAGCTGATTATATTGGTGTAGGGAACAAGCTGCAGCCTGCAGTTAATCCACAGTGTTCATCTGAACATGATAAAGATAGATCTGATGTCTGTGGGTACTGAAAATATCTAATAATTGTTGCTAGCCAGGGAACTTTATCTTGCCTTGCTTGGTCTGGCACTCTTGCCTTGATTCACTGACTGTGTGGGTTGAACCAACAGCACAAATAAGAGTTTGAAATGTTTATAGAGACAGGAAGATGCAGAAGGAGCTCGGTTGTAAACCTGGTCCTTGTAGACCTCTCCTCATGATCACAGCCTGAGGAGGCCATGAGTGGAGCCGAGGGAGAAGGAAAAGAGCTGGCCTGTTCTTGGAGCCTTGCAAATGTCAAGGAGACAGGAGGATGCAAAAGTGTAAGACTGGAGATGATAACTGCTGCTGGGACTCCCATGTGCATACAAACAATTGCATAGCATCACCAGGCTCTGCTGTTATGGATTGAAAATTGGTCTTATTCATGGGTTTTGTACAAGAATTTAGGTTAGAATTTTCCTGTGTATTTGTTGAGCTTTATTAATATTTGTTTGTTGTAGTATCTAAGAGGCCTCATCTTGAACCAGAATGTATTTGTGCTAGGTGCTGTACTAAAGAAGCACAAAGAAACCCTCTCTGCCCAGAGAGATTGCTGCCTAAATGCAAAACAAGCTGGTAGATGATACAGGGAGACAAGGAGAGAGTATCAGTCAGGCCTGTGAACTGAGGACGTGGTGGAACATCAGCCTTGTTTCGTGTAGGGTGTAGTCCTGTGACGTCTGACTGTGCTTCCCTGGTCTCACTAGGTGTGTGTTAGACTTGCACTGAGTTGAGGTAGGGAGGGACAGACATCCCATGCTCTGAGGGTCTCCCGTGGAGTCTCTTCTGTGTTGTGATCACTTGGCATGAATGAACAGGCTGGCCGCAGCTGTGCTAGCAGCATTGCTTGGTTTTGGTTTGGCCCAGGTTGTTCAGAATCAGGTCTAGGTTTCCATGCAGGTATTATATTAACGCAACAGGCTATTGCATATTTATTGCTCGTGTGATATTGTAATTAATGTACAGTATCGACCTTTGACAGCACACCTTGCCTTCTGGCACCTGAACAGGAGGAAATGCTCGATCAGCAGAACACACTTTGATGTTACCTCTTCTCCTGGGCCAACAAGTCATTTGGAAAACCCTCCGGGCTTTTGGCTTCTAATTAAGCTGTTGTGTCGTGTTGTTTCCGTGTCTTAGTTGACAGCTTTAACAGCTTTAAAAACAGTCCCGCCTGTCTGCGAGTCTACTTCAGACCCTTTTGTTAGGATTTTCCCCCCAGACATTCCAGCGGGTTTAGGCACATCTCCCAGGGCCTTCCTCAGCCAAAATCCATCCTCACCTGGGGCCGTCGGGCGTGATGGTAACATAAATCAGTCGTAGCTGTAATGCTGATGCCAATGTGTGTCTCTTCCAGGTAAGCTCTATGCCGTGGGGGGTTACGATGGAGCGTCCCGTCAGTGCCTTAGTACCGTCGAGCAGTATAACCCAGCCACGAACGAATGGACCTACGTAGCCGACATGAGCACTCGGCGCAGCGGTGCAGGTACAGACCCCGAGATGTGTTCTTCAGAGCTGGTGGTCACTGGATTCTCCTCTGCTCGTGGCAGGGAAGGAAAAGCGTGTTTGGGCATTGCTGAGCTGGCAAGCACAACTTGTTATTTCCCCCCGCTTTCCCATGAGGGGAAGAACCATAATTGCTTGGAAGCTCTTAGCAGCTCTCCTGACTTGGTTAAAATCTGCCAAACTGAAATTAATTTCTGGATTAATGAAATAATGTTCAGTGTTTCTAAGTAGCCTCGCTAACAGACGCATCTCTCTTGTAAGCAGAGTTATCTTTCTAAATCTCCAGCTGTAGGCTCAGGCAGGCACTGGAAAGCCAAGCTGCACCTCCTCTCCTATCATTTGGGGGTTGTCAGATGGATTTTCTTTTTGGGTCTTTTCTTCAAGCATCCAGTGGGTGATTTGCAGCACAAAGCACATCTTCACTGCGTGATGCGCAGACCAAGTCAAGGAAGGAAAATTCATCTCAGATTGGCCAAGCTAAGCTAGTTATTTTTTAGTGTATCTTTTGCTGACAGGAGTTGGTGATCTGGAGGATTAGAGGAAAGGACATATTATTATATTCTAGTCTTGATGGTTTCTAGTTTATGATGTGATGTTAGGCCGCGTGGGCACTTGTCTTCTCTGGGGCTGTTCCTCTCTAAAAGAGATAAAAGTTCTTATCCATTCCATTTAAAATCATCTTCAGATGAAAGGGAATGTGTCAGCACTGGTCCTACTGCTCCGGGTGTGCGGTGGGTCCTCCTGATGTCCAGCTGTGCAGTTCTCATTGTGCAGTAGCCCAAGTGGCACTTACCCAGAGGTAGCCAAGCCTGGAGGCTGCCCTTTGCGTGGGGGCTGAAATGACCCTGCAGGTTAAGCTGTGGTGGGAATTTCTTCTGAGCTGGGTAGTTGAGAGGCTGCTCTCTCCATCCCATCTTTCTTTCCTCACTCTAATACCTTTTCCATAACTCCAGGTGAGGTAAATATGGTCACACACTGTTGGTTTGAAATCAGTTGAAGAGGTTTTTAGCATCTGCTTGATGCTTTAATCTAGCCCAGTGCAACCTTATAGAAGAACAGTATCTCGTGTTGTTGACAGCATGTTGAAACACCCCAAAACAATTTGTGCCCGTGGAGATGGATTTTAGTGAGTGTTCTTTGTCTGAAACACTGAGTGCTGCTTTGCAAGTAGGTCTCCACACGGCAAGTCCAGTTTTAGGAATGAGTGCTCTTACTTGCCTGCCAAATACCCTTGCGATTTACTGTTCCCAACCTGAAAGCTGATCTCCTCCAGTTCTGGTTGTCCCCCAGATGCCCCTCCAGCAGCCCCCGGGGAGGGGACAGCCCCGTGCCACTCATCCCAGTGGCGCTGCAGCGAGATCCATGGACCTGTCAGACAGCTCCCCAAGTGACTCGGTGCTGAGCTGCCGGCATTGCCGTCCTGCTGCTGACATCTAGTGGAGGTGAGGACGGGTGTCCCCAAGTCCCCGGGGGACCCCAGTCCAGGCAGTGGTGCTGGGTGGATGTGTGGGTGCTGCCCGCATTTGCGGGACCAGCTGGGGGTTCCCTTTCCCCTCCTGGCAGGGATGTCCCGTCCGTGCGGGCCCTGTCTGTCTCGTCGCAGGGAGAGGCAGTTGTAAGTCGAAAAGCCTTAGATTGTTTCCTACTTTTTTACCTTCCCACTTAAATTAGTTTTACTGATTAAATGATTTCTTAAATTTTTTTGCTAATGGCTGGATATAGTTAAATGCTAAGGTGCTGCAAAGCCAGGCTGCTGGGCTCAGATGCAGTAGGCTTTCCTCACCAGTTGAGTGAATTCCCATTCCCCGGGCAACTGGGAGGCACCCTGTACAGCTCTGGGGCCAGGATGTACACTGGGATGTGTTCAGCTCTTCCAAAGTGGTGCGTATTGGAGTACCTCACCCAGACTGGCCCAGTAAGGTGGATATTTATGACAGAGATTAATTAACCAGCGTTTGCCAGAGATGAACCATGAATCCCAATGTCATGTTGGGATTGTAGCACCTCTTGGGATGAGAGACGGCTGGTCAAAGCCAAACCCAGCCAGTAGCAAGTTAAGAAAACCTGGAGGAGAGAGAGGTGACGGTGGTAGATGTGCAGCAGCATCCCCCAGACAGTGGTGTGTCTGCCAGATCTTTAATTCGTCTATTGGTCTCAGGTGCTGGCTGGTTGTTGGGTGGGGGAAGTACAATAACGCGCAGATGGTTTCTCTCCCTGCCTCATGTTGGTGTCCTGTGAGCGGAGCACAGTGGCTGCTGTGGTCTGTGCTCCTGCTGACCGTGGCAAGGCTCGGAGCAACGTGACACATCGTGTTTTGGGGATGTGACACACAACTGGGAGATGTTCCTGTGGCACAGGAGCTGCCGAGCCGGGTGGTGCCTGCTCTCCGAGAGCTCACCGTCGCTGCGCTGCTCCTGTGCTCTCCTTCCCCTCTGCTGCACGTGGCAAACAGGAAAGATCTTTGCACAGGGGCAAACTTGAAAACCTGTCAGGTTTACACTGGTAGAGCCCCTCTCCTCCCTGCACACACCTTTCTGGCTCTGGGCCTTTCCCTCAGTCGTCAGCACGAGTCCATCTTCAGGGCGCAGGGGCCATCCTGTTGGTTAATGCCCGTGGTTGAAATGATGCAATTGGGATCTGTGTTTCTGTTTTACTAACATCCCACCTTGTTAAGTTCAAAAGCCTCTATTAAAATTAACAAAGATATGTTGCTGGAACTTTTAACTCTCATGGATTGGTGAACATTTAAATTAATTAATTTACTTAGTATTAGGCAGAAGCACCCTTCAGATCCCAGAGATTGAGCCAGGGGCCTGCAAAAGTGGCTGGGAAGGTGGCACTGGAGGCACCTTATCTGTGCCAAGGGCTGCTGCCATGTTTGGGGGCAGGAGTTGGGGGGAGAGGAACTCAGCAACAGCTTCAAGAACCGGAGCCTATAAGTTGTTGAGAAGAGGAAAAGTGTCCAAGGGATGAAGTCATGGGCACAAAGGCAGCAAGAAAATAAAAAAGCTCTTTGAATGCAATCAGGCTAAAAGCAAAGGACTCCATGGCTGAAAAGATCAGGCAGATGAAAACAAGGTGGGGTAGGATGCAGCAGTGAGGGAAGCAAAGGGAAGAGGAAACAAATCAGTCCAAAGAGATTGAATAAAGGCAGATGAATGTTGTAGGACTAGACTGTTGAGCTCTGACAAACATCTACCTGAGAAGGGGCACAGCCCTGTAGGATAGGACGTCAGCCAGGTGTTACTGCACAGGCCTGCTCTACTGCCATGTGATGGTTGGGCGGAGAGTTGACCGTGTCCCAGGTGGTCTTGAGGCATGTGGCCCCTGTTTTGGAAATGCCTTGGAGAGGCCAAGGCAATACCCAGCAGAAGACCCAGGGACATGCAGCCCTTTCCCCTGTACGTTTGGCTAACGCTGGGCTCTGTTTGGCAGGGGTTGGTGTTCTCAGCGGGCTGCTGTACGCTACTGGGGGGCACGACGGTCCCTTAGTGAGGAAGAGTGTGGAAGTCTATGATCCAGGAACAAACACCTGGAAACAAGTAGCAGACATGAACATGTGTAGAAGAAATGCAGGTAACCACAATAAGCCTTTTTATGGTGTTTGGTTGCAGTTGTCTGTGTAGTTTTTAATTCAAGTAACGTGCTAGTGATGTCAGCCATCAGTATTGTAAGAAAGTGATAAAAATGGAAGATGAGGTTTCTGCTTGGGAACGAACCAGAATGTGGCAGGCGATGTGTCGTGGGGGATGAGTTAGCCTGTCTAACCATCTGTGCTCTGCTTTGAGGTGTGTGTGCGGTGAATGGTCTCCTCTACGTGGTGGGAGGAGATGATGGCTCCTGCAATTTGGCTTCGGTGGAATACTACAACCCCATCACAGACAAGTGGATGTTACTACCGACCAGCATGAGCACGGGGAGAAGTTACGCAGGTAAACAGTGGGAGAGCTGGCAGCAGCTGGGGTCATTAAACGTGAGGGCTCTGCCTCCTGAAGCTTTAATCTCGCTTTTTTGTATGTTTTATGTTGCTTTCAGTAGAAGAAACAGTCACAGAAATAGTAGACAGCTCGCGCTCTGCTAGCCTGTTGCTGGACTTGGGCTTTGCAGGATGATCTTAGTCACATCTCAGCCCAGGAGCTGCTCCTGTGCTAACTGTGTCTGTCCGTTCTTACCACAGGTGTGGCTGTGATTCACAAACCGTTGTGACACACGAGCAAGCCAACGCGAGGAGCAGAAGTGCAGTGGATCCGTGGTGGTGTTGGGAAGATGACTGACCTCCGACTTGACCCATCTCATCGCTGTTAACGTCTTAGCATGACAAGTGATACGTCAAAAACATCATCTGCTCTGCGGTGGATTGCATAGCAAAGCGAAAATCCCTCCGGGGACATGTTCCATGCTAGACGCGAGGTGTTGCTTGTTATCTGTGGTGCAATCAACTGTTCTTCTCAATGGCTTGTGTCCCGAGATAAACACTGTGCTTGAACTGCAGGCACTGAATTTCTTGTGTGAAACAAAACTGCTACGTTTGGGCCTGTGAGTAAAAACGAACCCTTCTGGATTTCTTCACTACTGATGCTCGGTGCGCATTGTCGGTTGAACTATTTACTCACTGTGCCTGGAGGGTGGACTTTACTACTGGCAGTAAAAACTTGTGAGTACCAACTGAGAAAAGCAGTCAGCAGAAACGGACTGGAACAGGGTGCTCTGGCTTGAGTGTGACGCTGTCTCAGTCATCCGTTTGTACATGCCACTGGACTGCTGTATGTATCCCTGAAATGCTTGTTGTATGGCGGAAATAAATACCATGTGATGATTTTTTTTTTTTTTCTACTTGCCATGAATGCTGTTTGCTGTACGTGATGGGACCTGCTGGGCAGTGCCTTCCCTGGGGCTGAAGTCTCAGCACCTGAACCACGCAGAACTTCGCAACCCCACAAGACGTGTGCTGCACCGATGGGGTTTATTGCTCCTGTGAAACGATTGTTGCTTGAACAGAAAGTATTCCCAGCCCCTGCATTTCAGCTGTGCTGAAAGCCCCAGTTCTAGCTCTGTCCAGCGTCTCGATGCCATTTCATAATAGCGTGTTTAGATGTTAAAAGAAATACCTTGTGGTGCCATTCATGTAGAGACGTTACATACAGTGAGAACCCTCTGTCACGCAAGCAGTGATTAATGAGCAAGGTAAAATACTTGCAGTGTTTTAATGCTTCCAGAGCACGGAGATTAGCTAATCACTGTCACTGTAATTGCTATTTTAATTTTGCCTGTACTGAAGGTGTTCCTCTATTAGTATGAAGAATTCATAAGATTATTCAAAACAGACAAATCTAGATCCAGCTGTAATGTAGCTGTCTTGCTTACATCCCAAATTCTTAACACTTTCTGTTTAAGATGATGTTTGACCTTAAAATACCTTTTTGTGTCCTTGTGAGCTCTGGAATGTTTCTGCATACAGGGCTGGACTCCCAAAAAACCTCCCCAGCTAAAGAGAACTAATGAAGATAAATATTTTATCTCTTTTTTTTCTCTTTTTTTTTTTTCCCCCCTCTGTAGATCAGCTGAGGCTTTTTATAGTGGGCAGGTGGCCTGCAGGACAGAATCTGCCTGTGTTACTATCGAGCTCCAACACTAACTGCTCTTCTGCTGGCTTCTTTTCCATAGGTCTCCTGTCAAAAAGACTCCATGTGACCTTCTACAGTAGAAAAGAAAGATACTTAAAAATTTATTTCAGAGAGATCTAAGGCTACATCACACCTTGTGCAGCTTTTGTAGAGGAGTGGGCTACTTCTGTAAATAAGTAGATAAATGTTGGAGCTGACGTGGTCTGTGTAAGGTGGGTGCCTGTTCACTGGGGGGGAAGCAGCACCTACCTTTGCTGTGTGCCTCCCACAGAGAGGGCTGACCTTCATGGGGAACATGAAGTAGCACCCACTCCTCTTTGGAAATTCTTGTTTTGAGAAAAGCAAACTGCCCGAAGACATGGCAGTATTGTTTTTGAAGCCTACCCTTCCACCATATGTCAGCTCGGAAGTCTTGAAAAGAATAAAAAATATCAAGTCTTTTTATAATACCCTTTAAACCCTTTGCTTTGAGTTCTACAATCTGCAGTGAAACGTGCCAGAATAGTGGTATGACATGCTGCTCTTTTCCAAGGTGTTGCTTACTGTAAAAGCTATTGAGGAATGTATCCGTGTCTGCAGCTGCCTTCAGATCGGAGTCCTGAGATGCATCTTCAGAGTGACAGAAACAAGATGATGCCTTGGGTTGCACTGACTCAAATTCACTGCCCTGAAAGGTGTTTTCCTTTTATGCAGCCGGTGGGAACAGAGGATAAAATGGGACAGGCACAGCATTTTGGTCAGAGTTGGCATCTCTGGCGAGACTGAGATGGGTGGGCAAGCATTTGGTCCCTCTTTAGGTCTGGTATAGACACAGGGAACGTAAAGCTAAAGAGCTACTCTATAGCCCAGTAGTTGGGAGCGGTTACCAGCTAACCCCACACTCATGGCATCACAGGAGCAATGGCAAATATTATCTGGAGACTGACTTTTTGTGGGGCTGGAGATAAAAATCTAGTAATTAGTGCTAGAGAGATGCAAGTTTGAAATTCGCCGTGTTTGTCAGATGTGGAAGGTGGATGTACTTGAAGGTTGGAGAATTTTCCCCCTGCTATACGTCTTTTTATAAAGCTTCCTTGCTTATAAGGAAAACAGTTTTTGGTGTTTTCCTGCTATTGTAAAATGGCATTTCTGCTGGCCTAGGCCTGCAGCTTGCTGGACAGGGCTAGGACTCGCAGCCCTTGCCAGGGATAAGCCATGCTGTTCCTGGCTGCAGCCAGTTCTCAATGGCAAATGACACCTTCCTTTCTTTCCTTCTCAAACGTTGCAGTGTTATGCAAGTCAAGTGACCTCGTTTTCCAGCTATGCAATATGAATAACAGTAACACGTGATGAACCAGCTGTATCCCCCCCTCCTTGAAGCGCTTTTTGAATTTGTCCATCTTTGGCGTGTGGTTTCGTGTTTGTATTGTTAATTCTGAGCACCTGAGCCAGATCCTTTAAAGATTGCCTTTTTCTAGGACTGAAAACGTAGCATTAGCGCTAACAAATTTTACTGTAAATATTTTTATAAGACAATTTTAAATTTTTTGGATTGCTTTTTATGGTCGTCAATGACGCTTCTGTTAAATTCTGAATCTAATTCTTACACTCCAGTGCAGGTTTTGCTGGCCGTGATGTAGGTGTGAATCTATGTTTTCAGCAGAAGATATTACATGTTGTAACTAAGATCTGGAATAGCTCGTATGTTGATTCCAACATATTAGAAGGACAGCACTGGGCTCAACATTATGAGATAAATTAAAATTCATTACCTCAGTCACCAGTACGCTCTTAGATTATTAGTAATTTTACAACAGTTTCAAACTCTGATTTAATTTTCTTGTGCCATGTGTTTGCTTCCTAGTCAGCTTGGTGGACAAGCTGTCTCTCAGCAGTTTCATTTCTCTGCTCCTGCATGAGCACGGCGCTGCTTGGAGGAGGAGGATGCCATGCACACAACAGCGTGCACGTGCAACCCCCCCCGCCGGACTGCCAGAACCACTGAAATTACAGCAGGAGGTTTTGTAAAAGCTTTACAAACCCAACTCAGGCTACTCCCTCACCGTGGCCCTTTGTAAATATGAAGGTTTTCCTCAGCTCTCCCCTGTCGTTGGTTCTTTTTGGGGGTCCCCCATGTGCTGATCCCCTGTGGGATTCTGGCCGTGGGTTTCCCAAAGGTGACTTGAGCATCCCTGGGGTTGTGCACCCACAAAAGCCACCGGCATCTCCTGTGGGTACGCAGGCTGCTGGGCTGGCCAAACAGGCAGGCATATGTAAAGCAGGATAAATTTGCCTGAAGCAATCTGTTGTTTAAACAAGTTTGAATCAAGTCCATCTTTTCCATTTGTGCCTAATAGATAAATTGGGGGTGATTAAAACCAATTTTCCATTCATTCAGTTTATCCAAATACTTTTTTTGTACAGATGTATACAGCACTGTAATTACCATAAATATATTTGGCAGCATTTGCATGACACCACCATGAAAGCTTTAATACTGTTCTCTCGTTTGCAGTGTTTGGAGACCAAAATCCTTAATAGCCAGCAACGTGCGATGCTTATTCATCAAGCTAACAGGATGGTTCAACTGATAAATGCAGCTCGTTTTTAACCTTTGGGATTCATTACTAGTAAAATGTAGTATCAAAGCAGTTGCCCCTTGGCTTAACATCATGCCCACAAATCACATTCACAGGAGCATGATTTGTTGCTCAAAGCTACAGTGTTTGGGAGTGCATTAGACATTATAGGCTGGAAATAAGTTAATTCACTTTTTTTCCTCTGCCCTTATCTTTGTTTATGGGTTTATAAATTATTTTCCTCTACAGTGACAATAAATAAATATCAAGAATATTAATTTGTAAATTTTATGTATTAAAAAAACCAACCTTAAAAGTAATGGACAATTGTGAAATAATTTACCTGGGTGTGAAATTCTTTGTTTTTGTAAAACAGACTTTGTTGGTTCAGTAGCTGACAGTATACCGTAATGAGTTGGTTGACTGTTTAAGCTCATTTTTTAAATTGAAGATTTTCTGCATGAATGTGAAGGACCAAGGACTTTGCAAAGTAATTCTCTTGTCCAGTGCGACGAACGACTCAAGAAACATATATATTTATATTATAAAAGAAAATCACGTTGTAGTTCCCCATCTGTTAATTTGAATAAAAACTGGACTAATGAAACTCTTCTGGGTCTGTTTTGATTTTGTTGGCTTCTAACAGCAAGGAACAATCTCATTGCTCCATGTGGCTTTTTTTCCCCCTCTTCAATTACAGCAAATCCTGTGTCCTTTGGAGTGGGGCAGTGGTACTCACACATGCTGATGCTGAGGGGTCCAACTGCTGGAGGAGATGCTGCCCTGACACCTGGCTCTGAAGCTTTCCTGCGGTTTGTGCTGCTCCTTTTCCAAGGGAAGTTTAAGGCTTTTTTTTGGCTGCTGGGGTGCAGGAGAAGAGCATTTCTCTTGGGGGTGGGAAAACCTGTGGTTAGGGGCATTGATGGCAGAAGTCAGAGAATTTTAGTGAATGAGATTGGGAAGAGAGAAAACACAAAAAGCACAATTTACCCCCCTGGGCTCAATATTTCTTAATAACACCATAAAGTAACACATTTCCTACACCACTGGAAAGGGCAACACATTTAACAAGTAGCATTTTGTCTTCCGCTTACGATACACGTCCCCTCTCTAGTTTTCCAGAAATGCTCCTCGTGCCTTGTCTGTTACCAGCAATCTATGATGTCAAATTTACCATGTGAGATCCTGAAATTTAATTATCTGATGAACAGGTAAATGACATGTTGTGGGTTGTTCTACGCAGCTGGGGGACTTGGCAACGATTCCTTATTGTATTTCAAAATTACTTGTCTCCTGCACAGTTGGCCCCTTTTTATTCATGTTTAAACTGATAAATCTATGAAGCTGCAGCTAAAGAAAATCCTTTGCCATACTGCAAGAAATCTCACTACCTTCATTTTCCTGCCTGAATTTTTTTTATTATTATTGTTGCATCCTACATTTTAATCTTTTGGCATGTGTTGCACCCTAGATTTCCCCCTTGGCAGGGCAAGAACCACACAGTAGTAGCTCCCACCTTGCCTCATCCACCTCAGAAGGGCGAGTACTTTTGCAGTGAGGAAAGGAAATATAGGGAAAGCTCACCCAGCAGGGTCGTACAGCAGAGCAGCTCTGATCCCTGACTGAACTGGGCATCTCCCCACACTGCTGTCCTGTGTGAGATCAGCCTCTTCAGGTCCTGCCCTGTCTCTGCCAGCACACCACACGGTTCTCTGGTGTGCAGGGGAGCTGTTTCCAGGGAGTATCACTGATGTTGAGACTTTTCCTGCTGGAAGGCAGTTGCTCTGTTCCCCCATAAATGCTCTCTAACAAGCTGATCACCTGCACTTCCCCTCACAGGTGATGCTCCCTCCTGCTGTTCTCCTGCAGACTCTCCTGCACCCATGTGTTTCTCAGGCTGGGTACCGCAGCCTGGGTTGCTGATGCCAAGCTCAGAAAAACAGCTCCCCTTTTTATTGCTGGGTAGCAGGCATTTTGAAGTAACCCAGGATGAGACATGCCTCTTCTGCAACAACCATACTGTATAATTTGGTACATGAGTCATGTGGAAACAGAATCAGAGCTAGGGCAGAAAACAACCTCAGCTGTGGAAATTGCAAACATCTGACAAAAGATGAACCTATTTAGCTGTAGGCCCAAATGAATAAATATGGCCAAAGAGGGATTCCCTGCATCCCCATGCTCTGAACTGCAGTGGGGATTTTGCATAGGACCTCCTTTTTCCAAGCAGTGATGGTCTGGCCTGAAGATGGGACATGGATGTGATGGCTTCAGAAGGCAAAACTGCTTCTCTCCTGGCTGGTGGCTTGTTCTTTGGCCGTGCTGAGGGTGCTGTGTGACGGCAAAGTATAATTGCAGTTTCAAAAAATGAAATCTTTTGGATACTTCTGTAAAAAAGTAGCCTGTAGGAGGCACAGGACCCCTACGGAAACACTGCCACAAACCACACAGTGGTTCCTGGAGCATCCTGCAGTTGCTCAGTGATTAATGATACTGCTTCATGTAATGTTATTCTGCACTGTAAACAACCACAAAATCACTTAACTACTTAGTGACACGAAATATTCTAAGAAATTTGCCAAAGTGATTAATGTTAATGTTCTTGTTCAGCAAATTGAATGAGATTTAATTGGCACAGCTGCTGACACTCAATGCATTTGATTTGGCCCCGATTTACAAACTATGTGATCACGAGTCTTCTCCTTCTCTTTCTTTCATTGTGAACCTCCACAGATTCTGCTAAGCATATTGCTTGGTAAATTACAAGTCTTAAAATGTTACAGTCTCTTTTTTTCAATCAGTAAAACTTCTAAAGTGGCCCTTTAAAAGTTGTACAATGCCTGTCCTAAAGATTCTGTGCTTCTTCTCTAAAGCATAAGAGATTTAAGGGTTATTTTTGAATGTCCTCCTCATACTTCTATACATTAGACTCTTCCTACAATGTTATCTCACCCAATGGTGAGTTTGTCCCACTGGACAAATGCTGAAGTATAATTTAAATCATGTGCTTCAAGTCAGAATTGTGTTGGAACAGAAATGAACCCTAAGACTTTATTTGATATTTATTCCGGATTTTTAAGCACAAGCCGTTTCTCCTGATGAGTCCCAGCTGCCAGACCTGTGCAGGCAACATCAGAAAAACTGCCCTTGCTCATAGGACATTTTAAATTGCATTCCAGCTGGGTATATATGCTGTCTGCTTCTTTCTTGTTTTAACCTGGGAAGGGGCATCTCTTTCTGCCCTGCACTTTGTTCTACAAAGCTCAGCTTTCCTGAATCTACCTAAAGAAATTACTAGGCTCTGCTTTTCTGCCAGAGGAGCAAGGGAAAGTCACGCAGATCTGGGACACAAACAGAAAGTTTTGGTTTACTTTATGCTCTACTCACAACCGAATCTCTTCTTGGTGCCTCGTTCCACCTCCCTGCAGCTTTCCTACCTGGCACATCTTGCCTATTCTGTGTATTGTAAACACCACGCAGCTCCCATGCAAACAGCATGAAGCTTCCAGCCTTGCAGGGCTCCTGTACTTGCAAAGTCACCTTGGTGACATGTCGGGGGAGCTCAGCCAGCCGCCCTTCCAGCTGGAGCTACAGGCACCTGAGCCAAATTAGAGCTCAGGTCTTAATGACTGGGAAACGTTGCATGCAGCTCCTCCTCCTAGGCTGGAACTCCTGCCAAGTTACTCTGGGGTTTGGGTTTGGTTTTTTCCATGACAGAATTTTCTCTTATGGAAACTACAGCATTTACAGAGCTACAGTCTTCAGACAGCTCTAATTTAATTGAGAATTGGATAATACCTCATACCAGTGTAAAGAAAGTTTCATGAACTATCCATTTGCATGTTATCAGTTCAGTTTTAAATGCAATCATATATATGAAGTATGTAATCACTTCTGCTTTAATACATTGCTGCAGCATCCCAGGGCACGCATCATGTGCCAGAGCACTGGAGCTTTGTCCCAGTGCCCAGAAATCCCTGAGGCAGCTGCACAGACCTGAAGTGATAACACATCTCGGTGGAAAAAATGCTGTAGATAAGTTGCAGCTAATTTGTGGACTAATGGAAAACAGCCCGGGACACTTAATTTGTGATTACCTGGGAAGGTGAACGTGATGAAATCGTCCCAGGAGTGTTAGATTTTATCTAAATTGACCTTCCAAGATCAGACCAGGTTTGAAGGTTTAGTTGGCTGGAGGGTCTTATGCTAAATGAGTTGCTAAGATTTTAGGACCTATCTCTACCACCCGATGTGATCTTAGGAAACCAGTTGCTGGCTGTGACTCCCAGAACTGCTTCTCCCTTTATCCTCTAGTCCGACCACATCCTGCTAAAACACCTGGCAGCGTCCTATGAGATAGTTGGTTTGTGACTCACAGGCTTTGTTTTCTCCTCCACGATTCTTAAACCCCGCCTTTAGCTCAGGCTTAGCAAAGAACAAAGGCTACAGGCCATGCCTTGGTCTGTATCTGCCCTGGTGCCCCATGGTCCGAGCTTAACCCAATAGATGAAGAAAAAGGAGGTTTGAAAGGTTTGTGGTTTACAAGAGCCTGGGGTGGGAATGGACTCGTGGGCTGCCTGTCCCAAAGAAGCAGTACATTTCAAAAATCAATCTGGTTACTAGTTACGGACGTTTTTAGGTGCTGTGTCTTGAAGGTGAAACTTGCTGCTTTTTCAAAAGAATGAGATACAGGAAATAGTTTGGCTTATCTAACAAACTAATCTGTTATTTTTATATTCTTAGTTAAATCCAATGTTTAGTCATATAGAGGTGGACGCATATTCCAAGAGCAAAAGATCTCATTGTCACTGATATGAGTCGTTCAGCGTGACGTGAGGAGAGTGTTGGTAATGGACCTGTTAAAATGGCTATAATTGGTCCTGGTGGCTATTGGGAACAAGCAGTGACTGGTTTGCTGAGTCATGGAGCGACCTTAAAAAAAGTGGGAAACCAGGTGGAATCAATTACTTAAATCAGGAACACCTGCTTGATGACTTAGACCTTAATTGTGATAATTGGTTCAAGCTGCAGGTGTTGGCTCCTTCACTTGCATGAATCTCTCCACTCCTTCCCTGGCTGCTTTGCACTGGGGAAGTTGAATCACTTTTCTGGATTTTTTTTTCTGTTTTTTTTATTGCAAGGAATGCCTTACACTCCTCTTCAGTCCCAACCAACTTGTTCCACCAGGTGAAGACAGGAGAGTAGTTTCTGTGAAAACTGCTGCAGGGGAAGTGATGGAAACTGGTGCTGACTGTGAGGGGGATGTATTGGAGCCAGTTCCAGGGGATGTTGTACAGCCTGCAGCCAGAGGAGAGGGCGTGTTAAGTGACGGCAAAGCTGTGGGGGAAATGGTAAGTACAAAAGGAATGGAAACTCTTAGCTCTGCATGTTGCACCAGTGGCTTGTTGCTTGGCTAGAGGTGAATGCCAGCTCCTCTTGCTGCAAACGAGCCTAGTGTCAGAGGTGAGAGTGGTATTTGTGCAAGGTCACAGTGAAGTCTTTACATTTTCTCTGTTGTGCCTTTTCTCTACATCCCTAATCACTTATGTTGGAAGAAGAAAAAGCGCAGGGATCTCTCCCTGAAGCGTAGA